CTTTTCAAGGGCCCCAGAAGTGACCTTCTTCGGGCTATAGGGGTCTCAGAGAAAGAGTCATGCTGTTTAAAGTAAAAAACCCTTAGAGGCCGGGAAAATATAGCTTCGAGGGCCGCTCCAGGGCCCTTGAAGCTCATATTTTTCGATCGCTGAGGGGCCCTTGCTGGCACCTTTTCAGGGGCCCCTGAGGTTACCTTTTTCCAGCCGTAGGGGTCTCAGAGAAGGTGTTATGAGTTAAACCCTCAAGGACTGGAAAAAACGAGGGTTTTCCAAGGATTCATTTCATTTATTGAAGAATAAATTCAAGGATTTTTCACTTTTTCATGGATTCATTTCATTTATTGAAGAATAAATTCAGAAATTGTCGGCTCGGGGCCCCTGAGCCGACAATTCTTAGGCAGCGATCGCTGCCTAGCTGCCTTAGCCAGTCCGGCCCTGCTGCTATCATAGGTCGCTATACTACGTATATAAACTCGAGCGCTCAAAGCAAGACTTTCCGGAATTTTTTTGGGGGGTTTCTAGGGGGCGTTGGAAAAAACAAAAAAATACGGGTCAAATAAATTCATCCAAAGAGTTCGTATGAATTTTTTCAGCCCGATCGGAGGCGGCAGCTTGGGAAGTTCCCCTTGTTAGATAAAACTCAAATTTGTGCCCACCCAAGAGATTGCTCGAATTAACAAATTGCTCCAATTCCTCAAAAATTTTAAGAGCCAATTCGACCCCAGCAAGCCCCTCTGGCACTCCAACTTCTGGAAGAAAGTCCTGTTCATCCCTCTCTGGGCAGCCTTGCAAACATATTCTTTAATTTGATCAACCAATTTAGAGAACTGCAAATTATGTATCCATTCCTTAACTATCATCAATACATACAATTAAATCTCTGTTAATGATGCAATTTTGATTGCCCATGGGTTGCGCTTAAGGTGCGTCTCTTGGTGACCAAAGGTGGCATTACTGTCAGTTAAAAAAATCCAAGCGAGTTCCTTCAACAGAACTTTGTGCCGGCGTTGCTTACAGTATTTAATTTTTTTGTTATCATGAACAAAAGATACCTTTCAATGTATTTGGGCACTCATTTCATCCCCTTTATTGAATGAATTTGTCTCTTTTTCAGAAATTCTTCAAATTTTATCAGTCACAGTCTAATTCTGCACCAGGGGGATCTATTCAGTATGAGCAGTTGCCCTCTCTAAGTAACACAGGATCTTTAGTCATCCGTAGAGTTGATTACACCGTCATTATGAAAAAAGTAAGAGCAATTGTTTTTTCTGTCATCTTTTTCTCCCTTTTTTTCTTCATTGTTTTTTCTCTTGTTTTTTTACATTGAATTGACTAGTAATAGAAAATCCACGAAAAATATTGTGAATAAAAAACATGAAGTATTATTATTCATTTTTCTTATTCCTGTGTATCTATTTTAGAAACAAGTAAAGGACATAAGTCATATAAAGCATCAAGAAATTACCTGTGGCAGGTTTCATAATGTTTTTAATCTTAATCAAATTAGCAAGTTTTGGTCCTCAGATCCTTGAAGAAAAAAAGGGAAAAAAATCAGTGTTCTCTGAAAATAGTTAGATTTTACTGCTTAAAATCATGAAAAGAAATCACATAGTGCAATGTTTTCTTTCTGACTTCAGCTAGTCTCCTATCGACTACTGATCTTTTTTTCTCTTTCTCTCTCTCTTTTTTAACTGGAAAACTCATAAGAAAAAGTCATTAAATTTCTCTCTTTTTCAGATCTGGATTTGCGCATTCTCCGTTTGGATGTGTTTCTTCGTCTCGATATCATTATTCCCAAGTGTCACAGTTACCGTTCAGCCTGTCTCTGAAAGAGGAAATGCTTGGACTGGTGAGTTGAATTGCTTTCAATCAGAAAACAATCATCTACACTGCCATTATTTCATTCTTTTTACAAATATTCAGCACTTCTTGCTCAAAAGGGCTGTGCGTCCCAGCTTCAAAATTTGGCAAAAAAACTGCCATGAAAATTTCTAGAGAAAGGATGGAAAATGGGGCAAATTACCCGAAAATTCTAAGTCGCTTTATCTAAAAAGTGCTTGAAGATAAATTTGTGTACTTTCTTAGGAAAATACACTAAAAAAGTCCAGAAGTGGTAAATGTCAATAATTCTACCGAAGATAAAGAGAGTATCCTCAAATTACTAACTTGCAAACAATTTAATAATGAATGTTTCCAATCAATTTTTTATCAATGCAAGGTGAAAAATGTACGAAGATGAATAATGAATAATCAATTTGAAAATTGAAAAAGAGACCAAAGATCCCTATTTAAAGGTTTTCTCTCTGAGTTTTTGGTTTCTCTATCTTTAAACCATTAATAACACACATGATATATTTCAGATACCTATTTCCAGCCTGTCATAACGTATCTTCTTTATTCTTCATGTGACTGTTTGGGGCGTATGCTTGCCGGCATAATTCATTATGTAAGTAATTTTTTAGTATCTACTATCTAATCAGCCTGTTTATAAAATCTAAAATCTGTAATGGGTTTAGCACGTATAAATTTTATTAAGTTACTGTCAAAAGTGTGGCAGTGCTGCTAAATGCTCTCTAAATGTGAATTTTTCTTCCAGTTATGTACCATTTTTCTACCAGATATTGTGTGTAAAGTTTCTCGAGATTGGCATGTAGAAAGTTTGATTTTAATCTTACTCATCACCATACTCAGGAGATCGTTAGAAGCATCATATTAAAAAATCTCCAAATTTAGCCGGTGCAGAATTTCTTGGTATTCCATAAGTGGTTTTTTGAAGATATATTTCTCAATGTCTCTGGAACTATGGATATCTAGTACTTTTAACATTGCATTTTTACTCATATACGATTTGTTTATTGTATTTTAGCCCACAAAAAGTGACTGGAAAGCTGGGACGTTCGCGCTTCTCAGAACAGTCTTCATCCCTCTGTTCATGTTTTGCAATGCCCAGCCAAAAACGGGAAGACAACATTTGCCTGTACTGATCGCGTCTGATGTTTGGTATTCCGTGATCACAGTACTTTTTGGTCTGTCTAATGGATATCTGGCCAATATAGTCATGATCATTGTGTCAAAGTAAGTTTCTTTTCTTGTCCTAAGGCGGTTGCATACTTTTACGGGGACTGACGACTGATTCATGGTTGAAATAAATGGTCTACTGGAGGGTCTTAGTATGCAAGCTCCTAATTGGAGCTTGTTATTACCGTTTGATAATTAAAGTACGGTTTTTTATGGAATTAAAATCAGAACGCTTCTCTGAAAGAGCACCAAAAATTACTACTCTATCATAACTTAACAAGGAAAAATCTCCAAATCATCAAGAGAAAGACTGGCCTAGAAAATGAAAGATCTGACAGTGTCTTGTCCATTTCCTGAATAATTGTCTGCAGTATTTGTGAAATCTATGTAAAAACAAACGATGCCTACAATTTGTAAAAACTCGATATTATAACTATTTGTAAAAATTCTGGTCCACTTGGTCCAGCCCTTTCCTTGCGTTCCAAGTAAAACGGTAGAATCAACCTTTTCACGAGGTGGATTGCGAGCGATCCTAACCTGGGTCGAACCACTTAGAAATTCAAGGATCCTGTCCATTGCGTTCCATGGATAATAAAAAAAAAGCCCTCATGTCTCATGCTTTCCTTCTATCCTTGTGTACAGGCTAATTATTGAAACTAAGAGTTTGTTTGGTGAATGAGACTAGAATATGATGTAACAGAGCAATGTGATGGGTCGTTTGTGTCAAGGGTTCGATTGGCAACAGCCAGTGTCATGTGATCAAATCTAGCAGTAAAGCGAATAAGATCAAAGTGGGCGCACGACTTTTTCTAAAATACCAGCGGCAATTGGATCGCTGGATTCGATTGTGTATCACAAGCTAACCACATTAAGAGCCCTTATCTAGCCAAACAATTGACTAGCTAAAGGTACCTTCTCGCTGACTGAGAACCAGTTGTTTATTTGGCTCAACAAAGAGCTTTTGACGCGGTTGCCAGTTGTCTAATCGACACAGCCGACCAATCACACAGCTCCATTTTATCTCAGTCCACTTCTGCCCACCAGCCAAACAAATTATATCGATGATCGGATGAAGAAAAAAAGGAGGTGTTTGAATTTCGGGCATCTTGGAATTTTTGAGTGACGTAGGTCGCCACAGAAGATTCTCATCATCGATTCTCTTGGAAATTTTGTAGTCTATGGAAAAAAGTCATTGTATATAAAGTGTCCAAAATTCTATCATGAGTTGATCTAATAAAAAAATCGGACGTTATGGCCCATTTTTCATATTTCGAATTCCAAATTTTGCTCGAGCACTGAACCGACGTACGTCTTGGGGTAAACAATCCTCAAGATGGAAACACCTCCTTTTTTTTCTCTATTCAATGATCGAGTTGCTTTATTAGCATGTATATTTATATGAATCGTCAAAAACATAGGATAAACAATTGGAAACAAGGCTAATAATTACACATAAAAAACCTGTGATGTTTGGCCCGTAACTGAGCCATTTTCAGTCGGAAGAATAAAAATAAAATATAAAAATTCCAAAAATAAAAAAAAAGTTGTCTCTTTGTTTTGATTTTCTCAGCCATCAAGTAGTCTGCAGGTTTCTATTCGGAATTTTCATATTTTATTTTTATTCTTCCGAAGGAGAATGGCTCAGTTTTGGGCCGAAACGTCTCGGGTTTTTTATGTGTAATATTTAGCCTTGTTTCCCATTTTTCCCCCTATGTTTTTGACATCACCATTGTCACAGGCTACTGTTTTAGAAATTTTAACCTATTTATATGAATTAAATGGTTTTTACCTCTTTTCAGGACTGTGGATCCGCATGAACAGGAAGTAGCCTCATCTTTCATGACAGCTTTCCTGGGAACAGGTCTTTCTATGGGCTCAGGACTTGGTCTCCTATGGGTCCGACTTCTCTAAGATCGATCTTAAGTGAGCTGTTGAGCATTTATTCATTGTCTTCTCATTTTTACTCGCTTAGTTTTTAAATTTTTATACCTGATCTGTTTTTGAACGTCCCCTCTATTTTAAATTAGGACCTAAGAAAGTTTTAGCAATGACAACTTATTTTTTTCTATCCCTGTATTTTTGTTAGTCTCTGCTTACATGATTGAATTATTGATGAGTCGTTTTATCTCCTGACTATTACATTTAGGTTTTTCATTGTTAAGTGTGTGTTTTATCAGGAAATGATGTTTGTACCTTACTAACCCCTAAGTTCTGAGCTAATTCTCAATTTTAAAAAAAAAAGAAATGTTTTAACATTTCTTGTGGGGTCGAAGAGACTGATAGCAAAAATGGTTTGTAACTTGTCAATCTTGATCGACGAATCATCTTCGGCAAAAAATTTGGCTCAACACTTGGGCAACTGTCAGAGTCTTCTGTCGTAATTCAGGCAATCAGAGTAGTTTCAATGGCTATGTTTCTTTATGAATTAAGTTGAATCTATAATGTTTCATGTTGAGCTTATTGGAATTCTTCAATACTCAGTAATATAATGCTTCCGTCGAATGATTCCAATTATGTTTTCTGAGCGTAATGGGAGGTGCAATACCCTGCAGCAAAAAGACTTAAGGCAGTATTATCTTTTTTGACTTTTTTCTTTTACTGTAATTAAATAGGTTTTAACATCAACTCCCATAAAATCAAAATAGACCAATTATGATAGGAGAAAAACGAGTATCTGCATGAACATTTTCTGAATTTTCCCCTCATTATTTTTCAAGGAAAACGAGCTGAATTTGTTATTTCAAATGTTCATAGAATATCTTTCACACAGAAAATGAAAAATTGTGGAAATTTGCAAGAGATGACGTTGCTTTGTTTTTCATGAAATAAAATTTGATGGGAGGTATTGATGGCTGGGGAACAATATCGCTTAGCTGCAAACGGATGATTTTACATGACAAAGAAGAGACTGTCATTTTTTTAATTTTGAAGTTAGATTTTTCAATTTTTTTTTTAAACATTACAGCACCACTTTAGCATTCATATGGGTCATTGGAAAAAATTAAAAAATCACCTTGTGTATTTTATACCGGCAAAGTTACTTTCTCATTTTAATCAAAATTGTCTGTTAAGCGGTACTGTTCCTTAGCTCTCGATATGCAATGAGATAATTAAACAAATTTATTTCCAGCTTCATCATTGATATCCAAATCTCACATTCAACTGCTTCTCATATTGAATCTAACCTGTGATAAAATTAGTGGCATATCCTGATAAGTCCCTGTATTATATTAGATCCTTAGAAATTAAAAAGTGAAATTACTCTTAACGTAATATTGCAATTCATTTATTTTGTGTCATACTCATAGTGATAGTTTAATGTTTACCTGTGCATGCTCTGCATAATTGTTCAAGAAAGTTACGTTTTTGAGGCTGAGTGATATCAAATTGTGATTACATGTAAATTTCGATTATTGCTATTAAAATTTGTTCCGACCTTACTTTTTATCAATAAAATTTTATGTTTTCTTTTATCAGCCTTCTTTTATTAGTCACTTCAACATTTTTACCCTCTAACTTTCCCTCAAGAAAATATGGAACATTAGCTCCATTCCCAATTTAATTTTTTAGTGTTACAGAATATATTTGAATTAACCTTTCTTATAAATAGTTAAGCGCCAGAAATAAAAATGCAAGAAAAACAGTAAAAACTGTATCAACCAACCAACATTAGGAGATATAAGATTTAGAACTGGTCAATTTAAACTTTGTGATTTTCTTGTATTTTAATTTTGTCATGTTTAATGAATAACGATTTAGTCATCAGTACAGTATGGGTGAATGATGCCAACCTTTATAATTTGACCCCTAAGAAGTAATACATATGTATATTAAAATCAAAGTGCGTTATTTGTAGATTTTTGACTTCTTATTCTTTATTTTCATTCTATCTTCTCATTTTTTCTTGTAATTTTATAATGGGTATCTGCCATTTTTGGTTCACTGTGCATAGTCATATTGCAAGGCTTATTCTGAACATTTCGACAGCATCACAGTGCACTTTAAAGGTGGCCCAAACTTAAGTGATGGCGGAGACGCAGAAGATCCAAACACTCAATTTAAAGCAGGGCATCATCATGGACTATTCTGAGACAAAATCTCTCAGTATTCAGAAAGAGAAAAAAAAGAACAAATTGAACAATTTTGCATCATATTAATGCATAAATTTATTCATTGCATAATTATTCTGATTCAGTTTCCATTCTTCCAATAATTATGACTTCAAAATTTTCCCTTGTTCCTCCTTTACCGGCACAGCTCCATCCTCTTCATCACTCAAAAACGTCAGCTCATTAAGTTGGTCAACCAAGATTGACTCACTCAGAAGTGATGTCAGCTGCGATGCATCTAGTAATCGTAGCATTGACTTGGGCTTCTTGCGTTCAGGTCTAGCTATCGACTTATAGTTCTTAAGCTGCGCAGGAGAAAAAAGCGACTTCAAGAATTCCAACTGTTGTGCCTGTGATCGCTCTTGTGGTTTATCTTTCAGATCAGTCATCACCTCAAGCTCGACATCTGAGTCCGGAGGTGTAATTTCAAGGTCTGAATGAGTCTCTGCTTCCGCTGGTTCCAGTATGATCTGGTCTGACTTCTCCGCCGATTCGGAAGCTAGTTTTTTTCGGACATGAGCGTCAGTTGTCCAGTTCAAGTCATAATCCACACCATATATGTTTTTAAGATGTTCAAGCTGGTTGTAACGATTCACAAGCTTCCTGCGCGAATATCGTTCGTAATGGTTTCTGTGCCTATAAATGGGACAGTTTTCTTCCTTGGCGATTTTGATTAATTTCTTCCTCAGCCACCTAAAAAACGGTAACACTATGTAGATTAGACGGAAAGAAACAAAACAAAAATAAGAAAAAATCGCGTTATGCGTGGATTTTAATTTATATGAATGGTAGATTAGGATCCATAACTAGTAGGTAGAAACATATTAAAGCTCTTGCATATGTCTGGGATTTGGAGCTTGAGTACTTTAGCTCATGTAAAATTTTGGGAGAAACATGATAATGCCACTGAATTTCCTGGTGAAGCTTTAAAAATTCATACCCTTAGTTTAACTGAAAAGTTTTGGGCGTTTTTAGGAACAAAACGTTCTTAAAACATTCCCCAAGACTGCAGTATTGATACTTCAGTTTTGAAAATGTTGGCACTGAGGTTTCTTCTCCTGTGGCTAATCACATGTTATAAGAATTTTCCATGAGATCTACAAATTTGGCTGGTAGCACTTCCGGACAGACTTTATTTCACGCTACAGGTCTTTTCAAACAAGAATGGAAAAACGCATACCTCAACTTCTTATCTCGTTTTCGAGAAGGATCATTGAAAACTCTTCTCAATGAGTCGTGTTTTTCTAGGACATTTCCCCAATCATATTCCTCAGGTATCCATGGATTTTCTTTGATTCGTTTCAAAACTTCAGCATCTCGCTCCTGACTATTCGGACCAAAGTGTGCAATAATCTGAGTTTCCATCTCATCAATTGACGGATCCCGTTTTTGCGGTTTCATTTCTTGCTCAAACTTCTAAAAAAAAAAGACCAAAGGGTGAAACTAAAAAAAATTACCCATCTTGATTGGCAATATTGTAAATTTAGATTTTACTTTTTGGAGGATAGGCGATAATTTTTTGTTATTTAAAAAAGTATCTCGTGATTTTTCTCAGTTCCTTCAAACATATTCTCTGAAGATGTTGTACAAACGTGTCTAGTAATATTCTTTTAAAAGAATAAAGAATGAGTGGAAATGTTAGTACATCTCAACTGAGATGAACGTTGTTGCAATCTTACTTTTGACACAAGGAAGAAAAACCGCTCTAACAAAGCAACGCTAGCTCTTCCGGCAACAATGCCAAGGTTTCTTGATAAAATAAATTAAGGTTACAGATAATACAATAATCATAAAATCAAAACAACCGAGCTGTACTACAAGCTTTACTTGATCTGTTTTACAGAGGGACCGATTGGTAAGAAATAATAACAAATGTTATCTTCTGTACTTCAGTCATCATGTAAAAGCTTAAGCAACATCATGGCTTGATATTTTTACAGAATATTCTTCTCATGATAAAGAAAAATAACGTTCAGTAGTTTCACATATGGAAAGTAAAAGTTAAGTAAGGTAAAAGGAAAGGTATGACAAGAAGTCTCCAAAGCCGCAAACTGAGATACGCTTTTCTGCAATTTCACCACTGATTTGTTATCGTTCTTGCTGACATGATGGGTTAATTTATAGGAATTACACTCTAAGATAATGATTCAATGATTAAAATATATGTATAAAATGAAGTTTTTACATGAGGAGGTTTCGGAAACAGGAGGTTGACAGCCGCTTGGAAAATTCTGTCCGCTTCTTTGATCCTTTTCTCTGCTTTGGCATACTTCTCAACTTTTTCTTGTTCTTCCTGAATTATCGGTCGCATTAACAAGTTCATTTCTTTGCGATTGACTTTCTTCTGATTTATGACAGTCTGAAATCATAGAAGCAATAATTGATAATAACAAAAGAGCAACTTGAGTTTTTTGGTATAAGTATCAATGCCTTTACAGTAAAACAATTGGTACCTACGATTGCTAAGTCGCAAATCTTTGTTTATCTTTCATTTTCTTTTATCAAAAAAACTATTCAACCAAAATGTTCTGTGAATTTTCTTTTTCCATTTAAATTTTGTTGTAGAAAACTACAAGGAGATATTTTGATTAGCTTCTTTTTGAAAAAATAAAACAGAATTGGAAATTTTGAAATGGAACAATAAAGATACACATTTTTTTGCTTCAGCAATAAAAATTCAATTAGGTATGTATAAGTATACTTTGCAAAGATAAAACTAAAATCAAATTTTAGATGAATTCATGTCATTTGATTTTCATACCTAATAGAACATTTAAAATCTCAACTTAAGACGAGATGGAACTAACCTGAAGGACATATTTTTCTTCTCTTTTTTCCAACTCTTCTATCTTCTTACGAATCCATGGAAAAGATCCCCTTCGTCTGATATACCACCTGGACAAAGACAGGAAAATAGTTAGAAGCAGATGACATGCAAAGAGAGTTTAATGATATTGTCCAAGGATTTCAACTATATAATGAGTTGAGGCTTTGATGAAACCCAAGCTCAGACTCACACTTGAGTGAGCAAGATCGGCAGATCGACCAGAGGCAGTTTTGATCCTAAGAGGCTGGTCTCATATGGTCATTTTTGACCCTCTTAAAACTTGAGTCTCAAACAAACAGAGGTCACTACCACCGATATCAAACCATTAGAATTCATGCTCTTTGTCAATGAAAATGTCTACAAGCTGCAACTTTTGCCTGCTAGCAGACAGTGATAACTTTGCACTTTAGCTACAACGAGGAATTCCCAGTTCCCCCTTTCTGCTGTTCCCAGTTCTGTTACCCGTAAACTGCATACATCTCTTATAGGAGACGCATCATACATGGAAAGTAAGAGTGCTTGTTTAGTTCTGGGAATTGTCGATGGCAGCGCAGATAAATCCTAGGACCTGGCGGTGCTTCTTGCTAGTGTGATTGAGACAGGACAAGATTTTTAGGTTTTCGGCTACCCATACTGCGAAGAAAAAGCTGAGCTATTAGCCGACTTTACAAATATAATATGCAATAATTGCTACTCAGACCCTGCTTTAATAAAAAAAGAATGTGCAAATTGTAAATATATTAAAATCCTCTTGCACATTGTTTTTTTTTTTTTTATTAAAGCAGGGTCTGAGTAGCAATTATTGCATATTATATTTGTAAAGTCAGCTAATAGCTCAGCTTTTTCTTCAAGACAGAACTTCAACTCTTTCCAGTGAGATTTTTACAATCAATAACCAATAATGTGAATTTTGAGAGGGTGAGATTTTGCTTAATTTATGAGTTACTTGCAAATATTGTATGAATGAAGTTATCATGCGGACCGTAAACCTTGACTTACTTGAAAACTTCTTCCTGATACTTCGCTGCTCTTTTAAATGCTGATAGAGGTTTAGATGCTTTTGATTTGTCTTCTTTTGGGCTCTGGTATGATTCTATTTGTGCACTGTGGCCTTTATTATCTTTAAAAGATTTATTCCATTCGCTCATTGCACGTCTTCGTTCAGGTTCTCTGTCTAAAAATGCTCTCACTGTTTCGATCTGTATAAAGATAACAAACATTTACTGACAATAATCAGCGAGTAGAAAGAGAAGGGAAGTTTACTTTTAAAACCATTTTAATGATTTCTATTAAACAGAAGAATGAGGGATTCCTTTTCCAAAAAATATCTTTGAAAGGAATTTTCAATGAAGTAACAAGTCCTTCTAGCAAAAAATCAAGAGAATGGATCAAATGCGCTGGTCATGGAATTGTATTCTGATGGGTTAAACTCATATAATAAAATCTGTCCAAAACCTACACGATAACGACCAATATCAACAACGATATGGCTCATTGAAAAACACAGTGTTTGACATCATCAACCATGGTAGTGAATACCTTGGTTTCTCTCACCTTACTTTCATCAACCAAAGATACAAAAATTTGATACTCGTTGCTTGCTTTTAAACATGGATGAGACCAACGTTGAATAGGACTACCTTGGGGCATGATATGATACATCGTGGTTTTCTATGAGCAATATTTCCGTTTATATTTGATGTGGACATTTAGTGTTCGGACAGATCCTATGAATATTAGTTTATTAATGAGCTTGAACGATCAAAACAGGATTCTACAACTAATGCATCAGACTCATTGCCTTAAATGTCTCGATACAGGCATAATATTAGCTTTGATTAGAAAAATCACTTTGACGGGTAAAGACTGTTATGCTGTTACAATCTGTCATGAGTTTATCCTAAATGATAAAATATTCGGTCTATAATCTCTCAAAAAAAAAAAAAAAAAAAAAAAAAAAAAAAAAAAATTTACTCTGATTATAATTTTTGGAACTTTTTGGCTTTGTTTCCCCTACGAAATGGTGTGGACACAGCACCATTTTTCCGCCTTATTTCATACAGTTTTGGGCCACTTCTTAGTGTTATTTTTTCTCATATAATCTCAAAATGATATGACAGTATCAAAAATGTTTATTGAAGTTGTAGCGATGTCTCAGTAGCTATTAGACATCAATTTTTGACATTTAGACCCTTTTGTCTTTTTTTTTTGGGGGGGGGGGGCTAATTAATTACATTTCAACATCAAAACGAGCTTACATAACATGCAAAAGAGGCCCTTTGTTGCAATATTAAGTAAAGTCAAATTGGATCGCATTTAGCAAAATGGAACCAGCCTGATTACAGTGTTTTCAAAATTGTGCAACTTCTTTTCTTATGAAAATACTCAAAATATATACTGTATTAAAATTTACACGATGATTTTCCTTTAAAATTAACAATTTTTTGGTCAAAAGCAAAAAATATTTACAGTTCTGGGAGATTTTTTTGATAATTATGAAGAAGCAACATTTTTACAACACTGTAAACCCGGAGGTTCCTTTTTGCTAAATGTGATCCAGTTGATGAGACTGGTACCAAAGCACTTGCCTCTCGCGGGTTGATATGATGATACTTTTGTGGGACATGAAACAACCTGATTATTCCAGTATAATCAGCAACAGCGCAAAGACCAGATACAAATGGGAGAATTGGTTCAGCAATTTCTAAAAATGAAAAGACCAAAAAAATGAAAAGTTTAACCTTAAGAGCTATTGAAATTATATCTACTTTTACTTCTGCTCTTCAAAAAAAAAAAAAGAATTATTGGAGAATATTTCTAGACATTTACGGAAAATCCAAATGAAATTTCATCGGTAGGCCTTCCTGCTCAGTGCTAAAATAAAGTTACAACTTTTCAACATTGAAAACCAGAATACACTTTTTTTAGTTTTGATACGGCAATGCCTATTTTTTGTGTTTTCTCAACAAAAAGGAAACTCGAAGTGAGGAAATTTGGCAAACTCTACCTGTTATAACCTCTCCAGAGATGAAAAAGCTATGGACACTGTTGTGAGACTGGCGAATTAAATCAAATATTTCAACAAACCCATCAGCACGGCTAACAATAAAAGCCGTTGGTTTGTATTGAGAAAACTGAATGGATGTCACTAACACAGGGTACCTTTTCCACCAAATAGGACCATCCTAAAACAGAATTATCGTTGTGAAAAAAACATCAGCACAACTCTTGCTATTGGAACTTCATCGATTATTTGTTTCGTAATTGAGAAATGTTTTGTCTCACTTCCTCCGAGAGAAGCTTTAACTTACGATTTGTCAAAAAGAGGATGGAATGAATTGTGTATTACTATGTGTACTATGATTTACTAGAAATTTAAAATCAAGCAGATAGCGCAAAGACGAAAAAACAAGTTGGACTCTGACCCTTAGGAACATGTATTATAATCATGTATCATTCATGGATCATTCATCTTGTATCATTAAAATCATCACATTCTCACTTTCTGCCCACAGTATCTAGAGCGCCGTTTATGTTTAAACACTATGTTGCTTGACATCTCAATATTGTTTAAATTTTCCCATTAAAACTTTAGCACTTACTTTTAACAAATTTCATAGAAAATTTTGATGACAGAGGAAATATTGAGAAAAATATTTAAAGGATTTTGTTCATTAGTTTTTTAGGAAAAATTGGATGAGTTTGAGAACGTTGGCAACATATTGCCTACGCACAGATGGCTGAAAGCTTATGATACTTTGGCCGGAAGGTGGCATCATCATTAAGCACTCATTTGATAGAATATTCACTATTCAAACTGCATATCTGATACCCACAATGTGTAATACCAACCAATGTCAGAAAAAAATGATCGTAAGAAACAGGCACAACCTTGACGACATAGAGAAAAAAAAGGAGGTGTTTGCATTTTGGGCATCTTGGAATTTTTTTGATGATTTGATGATGTAGGTCGGTACCGCAAAGTTTATCCTGTCGATTTTCTTGGAAATGGTGTAATTTAAGAAAAAAAGTCATTCTATAAAAAGTGCTTGAAATTATATAATGAGTTGATTTAAGTAAAAAAATCGGACATTATGGTCCGTTTTTCATATTTCGAATTCCGGATTTCGCTGGCCAGGCTGTACCGACCTACGTCACAGGGTAAACAAACCTCAAGATTCAAACACCTCCTTTTTTTTCTCTATGCCTTGCCAATGCTTCAAGATACTCATTAAGTCATCAGGTTATTAAGAGGATGCAAATCATTATCATGACAGACGCATCAAGTTCAATTTTAAAGATAATGAGAAAACAATGAATGATTAAAATTTACCTCATAATCAATGTGCCACAGAGCGATGATATGACCTCCTGCCGTAGCGACTACATTTGTAAAGGAAGTGCTCCGATGTAATGAAACAATTTCTCCATCATGAATCATATTGACCCACAAACGCTTGGCAACTGCATTGGGTAATCAAATGAAACGTACAAAAATTAAATTAAGGAACAAGAAGAAGCAAGAGATGTTTTCTGTTTTTTTGGCAGCATGCTGCTTTTGATAACAATTTTCCGGTGCAAAATTAAAAAAATTAAAAGAAAAAAGGATATAGTTATTGGAAAGTTAATTTTGAATGTTCAAAAAATATTGAAATGAAAATTGTCAACGCTTCGCAACAGGCATTGCTACTATTACATCAACATTATAGTGCATTAATGACTCTAATCGAAAAATGCAGCCCTCTGATTGCAATTTTACAAGCCTCCGCCAGTGCTCTTTTTTTTCTCTTTTTTTTTTAAAGGGAGCCAACCCGACATTTTTCTAAAAAATTTTCTCACTTATCTGAAAATATTGAAGAAAAAAAAACTTTCAAGGAGATATCTTAAATGATCTTCTTTACAACAGATACGAGGGATCCAGAAGATACAAAACAAACGAAGATACTGAGATTTTTTTTGGTCAACTCCTTCAACACCATTCCTTGAAATGGATGCAAGACATTCCAGCATCAAAGATGGAATCCAAGTTTCTGTAAACATCTTGAGGAATTCCAATGATCGAAAAGCTTATTTTTCCGAGAGGAAATATGCTACGTTGTGGGTAATAGAGAAAGGGAATTTGGCTGCTAAATTGATAGATATAACAACTGTGATAATTTTCGAATAAAAAAAAATCAGCTTACATTCTTCTTTCGGAGCATTTCCCGTCTCAAATTCAAATCCCTCCCAAGAATAAACTCCAAAATCACAACCAGTGGCAATGACTATTTCATAAATGAGATCTTCGTTGGATAATGTGGTACCATCTGTGAATAAAAAGCAGATAAAATGAAATAAAAACTGAGCTAGGATACCAGAATGACGGAACATTGGGTATAAAAATGAACAAGCATATAGGGTAAGGCATCGAGCAACGAAATACGTGATCTCTTAGCAAAGTTTTGCATGAAAATGATGCTTTTATGACAAATTTTCAAGTTCAACAGTAGAAATTAAAGAAAAATTACCATTCTTTGTTTTGGCCACTGTAAAAACTTTACAGCCCTGTACAGCTTTTTGTTGCTAGGTGTTTTCTCCTCGATGAGTTAATCTAACTAAGAGGCCTTGCTATCAAAAATAGCTACAGTCACTTTAAACTGCATACTCACTGGCCAATTCACCTAGATCTACTTGCGTCAAATCACATACTGAACTAATTTTGGCCTTTTTTGCAATTAAAGTATAATTTTTGTGCGCTGAATTTCTCTTGATATATTTACGGGGTTTTGCGCCTCAATAGTAGTACATCACGCATTGCTCTTATGATTTTATATTACGAAGTAAGATATGTAACTAATCTAACCATAACTTTTGGTGGCAACACCATGGTGTCGTTGTTAATGTAATTTGCTTTTGATACACCGCTCTCCCAATTTTACCGTCTGATTCATTTCTGCAATCCATGCTATTTCTGATATTTTTGTTTTTTCATGATTATTCAGAAATGTATTGCTCAAAAAATGTATAATTCTTTTCCCAGTTGATCCTTCACTTTAATGGATATATTCCACCTCTGATGAAGAGCCTCAGCAGGCCGAGAATCTCCAAGTTCCACGGTCCAAATAAAATTTAGTAACATAAATTCGCAAAGCACTGGCTACTTTAATCAAATTTTTAAAATTTCTTTTATCAAAAGAAAACAAACGCACCAAAGGAGAAAGAAATCTGATCCTCGAGGGTTTCTGCGTGATTCCGGGATGATGATGATGGTTGTCTCTTGAATTTCAATGCAGGGAAATTGAAGTGAAATTTATGAACGGGCTGAAGCATCATTTTGTTGTTTATCACCTTCAACTGAAACATATTTTATACTAGTTTGACATCCAAATTTTGGCGGGCAAATCAGCTTCTTTGAAGCATGGATTTTGCAAGCCTCATCAGACCTTATTGCCATGCTAAGGAGAATCGCCTTTCAACATGCGAATGTTGTCAAATTTCCCAGGATAAGAAATTTATTTTGGAGGAGAACTATGCATATTTTCCTTTGAAATTTTCAGATATTTTAGCTATTTATAAGCTAAAAGAAACGACTTCCAATGTGTTACAATTAGAATTCACACTGAATGAGTCTTAACACTTTTAAAGTGAGACAAAAAATTCGGCATCTTAATCCTTGAAGTAGCAATGCAAAACTGCGTGAAGATAGATTTTCTGTTACATTTTAAAAAAGTTCAAACTTATTTGGTGTAGAGATCTGTCTTGAGATGAGCCCCACCCTTGAGAGAACAAACAAAAGAAGCTAGCGCGTTGCAGTTTGCACAGGATTAAGGAATAAATTTAAGTGTACAAATAATCAATGGAAAACAAAGCACCTTTGGAAAAATACATCCAATAATTGAAGACTAATAGCGACATCACAGTTAGTTTAATTTAGTCTGAATTTCCAGTAATATGCATGGTGGAAGTACCAAAAAATATTCAGGCGAAACTTACAGTGTAAATAGGCGACCAGTCTTTGCACAATTTCTGGAAAATAGAGACTCTCTTTTTCTTCAATCTTTCCTTATCCTGAGGACTCGCAGTTTTCTCCTGACATTCTTCACTTGATTCTTTTTCAGCATTAAACGTCAAATCCCATACTTTCAAGGTTCCGTCCAAAGACCCTGTTATGAGCTGTAAGGATTTTAAATCCTTCGGAAGTGAGCACAGCCTACCATTTGGTGTTATCTGAAAAAACAAGCTTTAAATTATGCTGAAAAGTAAAAGAGAGGACTGCGTGGGGGAGCTTTTTTTTTGCTAAAGACAAAGAACATCCAAAAAGTCAGCAAAAACCAAGGTTACAGCAGTTTAAAGTTTGTGATTCAAAGAACACAGTTTCAAGAAAAAGCTACTTAAAATTCTCATTGTCAGGTTCAAGGCACCGAATTGCCAGAGCATGCTACAAAGTTATTCCCAATATTGACACAAAAACTAAAAAAAACCACTTGCAACTTATTTTTCAGAACATTTGAGAGTCTTTTCTGTTCAAATCGAAAAATCCAATTTCTAGGTCAAACCCATTAAAAATCGTTCCACTGTAAATCTTGCCTATATGTACAAAAACTAGAGCCCTTATTTCTGTAAACAGTCACATACTTAAAGATCATACAGTGACTCAGCAGATAGCAACAAAGAGTTTTGATTTTATGGAAATACTAGAAAAAAGTTTGATGGCTACCTGAATAAAGGGATGAACCCAGTCTAGACAAGTTATGGCATCTAAGTGAGAGACGCTGCGATTGCTGATTGCAGTTGGTCGCACTTTTTCCCATGAATAATCCTGTTGCCATTGCATCATACTTTCCTGTTGAATATCAATTATTTTATTGTGTGCTGAATAAATTTCATCATGTTTGAAAAAAAATGGTAAAGTACTAAAAAACAGAACCAATAAACAAAGAGCTCAAATGGAGAATTTGCATACAGATTTTTTATTTCTTCATCTAGAAGTGCTTGAGGAGCTGATTTCGCAGTATTTTTTATAATTTTTTTCTGATATGGGAAATAGTATAAAAATAGATTTAAAAGTGAGAAAATGCACCGCCTAGTGACGTCATCTGGCACCATTTCCCTTTGAAACACACGCATTTTAGCAGATTAGATCATTTTGTCATATCTTCTCCAATAATTGTTCAATTCATGAACTAAAGGTATCCTCGTGTTCAGTTCACTCAGTAGTTTCCACTTAAACACGAAATTCATCAAATTTCAGACACCTGCAAATTCTCTATTAGTAAAATTTGTGAGAATTTAATGGACTCATACCTCGTTAAAAAATTTAAAATTCGCTAAAATGCGTTCAAGAAGTGTACTAAAGAATTACACACACACACCAAAAAAAAATTGCTCATCTGCAGATGAATGTTGGAAATATAAAATTTAATTACATACTTGGCTGAAAAATCGAAATAACTATCCAAATGGACAAAATCTTTTAAAAATTCGACTCACAAGCAACAGCATGTATTCTGACTTCTCTTTCGACTTCTTTTTAGAGCTAGCAGTACTTCTAAGTTTCCCTGCCAAGTCCCACAAAACTACTATGCCACTTACGCTCCCTCCGGCCAGCAGATTGCCGTTGTGAGGACAGAATTTAATGCATTGAAGCTCATAAGGACTGTCGAGGCACACCTGAAAATGAAAAATCGAATGTAGAGTCCGTGTTAATATTAAGGAGACATGATTCCCAAGTATCACTTGTTCTTTATCAAAGTGAACTACAAACATTTTTTTACTCAAAAATTATGAAATTTTAGTTCAATGGAACCCTAGAGAAGGTGAGGGTTTAAGTAATAATTAAATATGATGTATATTTTCTCATCAAAATTTTACTGAGAAAACGATGGATTTGTGCCCTGATGAGCGGTCCAGCCAAACTACAAAATCTGTAGTATGTACATCTTTTGTTCTTCCAGGAAAAGCCTAAAAATATCATCTTGAAATAGAAGAGAACTCAGTGATTCATTCAACAACTTTAGAGCACATGGATGGCACTACATCAGACAAAAGAAGAACACAGATGAATCGATGTTGTAAGTCGGCAATCACATAACTCGTCGTCGCAGACTTCCTGTCATACTTTATTTTTTTAACGGAACAATACTCAACGGCAATTCTTTAAAACTGCCGTAATTTTTCTTCTCTGTGCGAAGAAAATTCTGCATAAACTTTAAGGAATGATGTCAATTTGTTCTTTTTTAAAAAAGTAACATAGAGGCGTAGATTTTCAGACACCGCAAACGAGTTATGGGATTGCCGACTTATACAATCGAAATGCAAGACCTTTGAACATACTTTTGGTTTAATATCATCATCAAAACTCCAAATGAGGACCGGATTTTTGGGCTCTAAAATTTGAGGGGCGATTTCATCCTCTTCCAAGTTATTGTCATTAAAATCATCGTCAGGTGGTTGCTCCAACTCAAAACCTGGCTCTAAGCTTTCCCCATCACTTTCTGTTCCGTCAGAGAAACTGGCTGAGAGAGCTGAAATCCCCGACTCAAAAGATTTTGAGCTAGAACCTGAAAACGGGAAGAAACTTTCATCAGGCATTTAATTGTTAAAACAAACCAAAAGATATGGTTAAGATAGGGTCATCTACAGCAGCTAGCAATGTAAATTTCTTTTTAGAAAAGAAAATTACATACAACGATGTGGGATGCAAAAAACCTTGCAGGTAGTTAGAGTCTAATGGTGAGAAATCTGGATGGAACAGCGTCTAGTGATAGGTGCTGCAAGAAAACTTACAGAATAAATGAGTAGTAGCTAAAAGCAACATCAACAGCTCGAAGATTCAAACCTTTTAAGCTTTTCAAAATATGATTGATACTGAAGCCGTGCGCAACAGAGATTCAGTAAATGCCCAACCTCGTGATCTGCAGTTCAAGGCAAGCATGCACTAGAGCAATGACAAGCCATTGAAAAAAATCTTTAAAAAGTGATGACCTCTCTTAAAAAGCTTGGGTATTTCTGCGAAAAGTTTGGAAAATTAGGAAATTTTGAAACTGGAAATTTCAAAGAAATTAAAACATTCCGGGATAAAAAAGTACTAGTTCATGATCAGTGGCTGACATTTAGAAAGTTTGAAAGCCTTACCAATTTAAAAATTTCACCAATATGAAGCTCTTCTCAGTACTTTTTCTTTAGTCCTTTGCATTTCGTATTATGAAGAATAAACTGTGGTGCAAAAGAAAGAACGAAAAAGTAACTCTGCATGAGTCTTGGTGTGCATCAAACTGCTACTGAATGTAAACTTGCGCAATATGAATACTGTAATTTAGAAGGACTTACGATCACAACTTTGACTTTTGTTGATGGGTGACAGATATTCCTTCAAATATTCCTTCACATCTAGACCTAACGCACTTAAAATACCTTTGTCTAATGATTCGTGCTTTCCACTAGCCGGTCTGGAATGAGTAAAAACAGCCGATCAAAATGGAAATCATTCCTCAGCGAAGACATTTCTCCAAATACTCCTGTGTTACATACATACATAGAGCCGCTTCTATAGCACTCTCTGGCGCTCTGCAACACCCAGCCGCCAAAGTCCCCTATCCTCTCGAAGCCCATCAGAAAGTCGACACTCCCTCATTTCTTCCAAAACTCCCTATTGCTGCCCTTACACTGGGCGTCTCTTTTGTCTCCTCTCAGGATGAACCCAATCAAGCATCTTCTTTGGTTGCTGTTTTCAGGTTAAATATTAAAATTCGTGAGACAACTTTTTATGGACAGGTTGTTTTGTTGCTAAACTTTCACATGAACATTACAACCATTATTTTTGAGAAATTTAATGCATTGCTGCAAAATAATTCTGCAGGATTGCAGTAAACTTTACTCTACTTCTATTTTTATTTTGCCTGGTATTAGCTTTATGGACCACCCATTTCTAAAACTTGCTTTAATATTTATTCTAATTACACGCATACTTTTAGAGGAAAACAGTTCAAAATTTTACCTGATTTCTGTTTTCTTATCCTTCTTTTTTTGTTCTTTTTGCTTCGTAAGTGCTGGTAATTGAGGTGCAGCTGATTGTCGTCTTCCTTTCGGAGTCCTGTAAAATTTAAAATAGAAATAAAACAGACATAAATAGAGCTTGGATTAAAAAGGATCAATACATTATGCTAAATTCTTAGAGTAGACACGACAGTATCAGCAATGACGTGAATGGTTGTAATGGCAAAGATATAACTTTTTCAAATTTTACTTTCGTCTAGTTTTCTAGTTTATAAGTAATCTGATCGTCATCGAAATAATGTACTATCGACAAAAATCTACAATCTACTCACTTATCTTTCACCGGAGGAAATAAGCTCCCTCTGTGAAGTTTTGTGACATCTAAAGATTTACTAGGTTTTTGTTTTATCGGTGGTAAATGCATTGTTTCTGATTCGGTGCTGCTGAGGTCAGAGGTCTCAAAATCACCAATGATGATATTTTCAGGAACTTCAACATTTCTGTCAAAATCACTTGACTCCTGCAAAAAGAAAAATCATCAGATACGATCATGCAATTTGTGAAGTAGACAGTTACTTAATCATTGCAGAGTTGATGATCCGTTTCAAACATTTCCCTGCAGCAAGTAGAGGGAGTATAGACAGATGTGAAACTCCAAAAATCCATCAGGCCTTCACCGATGCCTCCACTGACAAAGTTAGGGCCCAGAAATGCAGCCAACCTATGAATTTCATTTATCCAGAGCGATTTACTAATATAATTTTTAGGAACCGGCGTTTATAAAGCACGTAGTTGACTTAGTTTTTGCATACATTTACTCATTTTTACGGAAGAACGCTTACATATGTACATTCTTGGCCATCTTGGTTAGAATTGGAATCTGCAGACTCTGCAGCGGCAGTGAAATTTTGTGTGTTACGAGTTGGTTAGAAGAATGGATGCACTTTTGGGCCCTAAGCCCTCCATGAAGCGATCTGTCCATACTCTCGCTATGTAGGCACTCTAGTTAAAAATGGCTCAAAAATTGCATTAGAGGAAAGTCTGAAAAACATTTCTAACTTTCGAATCTAAGGAAATCTGTTATTGTTGAGCTCCATCTTCCAAAAAGTACCCAGCATGTATAGCAATGACATAATTGGACACAGAAAAGTAACTTCGGCTTCATGCCTCTTTGCAAAACTTGGTTCCTAGGTTTTGCAATGAGAGAGATAATCAAGCAACAAATGAATACCAAAAAATTTTTAAAGTGTGCTGAAAAAAAACAGCAGTCTGTCAAGCAACCATAAAAATGAAATTCTTCGAAACAGTGAGGATGAACTTAAACCTTGAACAGAAGGTAAAAAAATCCAAACTTACCTCATCTGAAGCTTCATCCGCTTGCGGTAAAATAAATTCCTCTGAATCATTGCCATCACTACTCTCGGAAGTGTCACTAAGTTCATCAATAAGTTGAGGAACTTCTTCCACTTTTTTCGGTAGCAACACAGTTTTCCTCACATCCATTACTCTTGGTTGCTTTTTCAGTTCGAGATGCTCTGAGAAAGCGACGTGAGCAGCTAGCTTTTTGCGCAGCCCAAGTCTTTTGGCTTGTCCTTTCTGAAAATTTTTTGGGAGAAAGACAAGAGTTTTAAGCAGTGGTGTGGCAAGTATTGCAATATATCGATTGATCTACCATTTAAACCTATGAAAGAGGATAGATTTATAGGGTGTCGGCAGCAAACGCCTTAATAGTCGATTCTTTACCATAGCTTCAAATGGGAAAATATCGATAATCGATCATTCACGCCTCGTCACTGGTTTTAAAGAGTCCTAAAAAAGAATCAAGCTCTTGAAGTCTTGGATGAAAAATATTAGATTTTCAATTGGAGGGGTTCAAATCCACACAGATTTCAGGAGTTAATTATTTGAGTTAAAATACGGTTTTTTCATAAGCCCCTCGAATTTTCTAATAACAATCCTCTTCTGTGCGTTCAAAAATGAAGAGAGAACTCACAACTACCCCAATTTGCACATTTTTATCTCATTCAATAAATAATTGTTGCCATCACGATGAAAGCAAATGTGTCCCTTTCAAACTTGAGGAGCCATAGCTCTGAGGGAGAGTGTTTTGGGAACAAAAAGTGTAGAATAAAAACTAAATCTTATTTTGAAAATGGACTCCTGAAGTCTTATCCACAGACAATTCTGCTACTTACCGAGCCTTTCTGCAAATTCTTCAATCTTTCAACATCTTTTTCATATTCTGTCGGATCTTGATCAGCTGTCGCTGGACTCTTTATGTCGTGATGATCGGGCAAGTATTTGTTTGTCATATTGATTTTCACTTTCTTTTCAGACTCTTCTGCTCCATTTTGAAGAGATTTTTCACTGTTGGAATTTTCATCGCTTGACTCAGTAGTCTTTGTTTCACAACGGTGCTTTGAAACATAAGCCACAGCCAAGACGCCTACGAAGAAAAATGAATTTCTCTACTTTAATTAAAACTTAGACTATTTGATGCGTAGTTTCTCCTTTCACTACGGCATATTTTGAATACAAACTTTGCTAGTACCCTTAAAGCTCCAGTTTGAATTGAATTTTTTCGTCATTTCTGTCCAAAAATATTTGTAAAAAACTCTTATATGCAACAGTACATATTTTAAGTTTTTCTCTTGTGATAAGATCTTTTTTTAGTGTCACAAAGCAGAAGCTTAATGCAACCACACTAGGGGAAAAAATTGCTAACACATGAAATCGTAATTTAAGTTGGGCCCTTTTGGTTATAGTCAGTGACGATAAGGATTTAAAAAAAAGAAACCAACATTTGGGTGCTCCAACATTTGATGAATGTAATAAAAGAAGGGTATCGGTGCGGGCTGTCATTGGGCTCATCCTGAATTTCCTCAACTCTATAATTTTTTGCTAATTTAAGGTATATATTTTGCGAAATGCATCATAACATGGTAAATTCCAGTCTCTTTTCAGGTCTGATAGGTAGTAACCTAAACATGGGTCTGAAGGCCGATTTTGACGAAAGATTCGGGTTTTGCTGGTTTGAGGACAAACGCCGAAAAGTCCGCATTTTTCGCCAAAACCTCCATTTAGACTCAGTTTATGCCAGTAATAGACTCATAAAGAGACCGGGATTCACAAAAATATGGTGCGTATTGTAAAATAAAGACCTCCAATGAGCAAAAAAATTGTAGAGTTGAGGAAATTTAGCTAGGATGGACCCAAAAACCGCTTTCATCGGTATCCCGTCTTTTAAAAAAATCCTGTGGAAAGGGGCACCAATATTTTAGAGATATGAGATGACAATAAATCTGCTTATGGTAATGCTGAGTCTTACCTGTTAAGGCAGTGTGCCATGCTATACATGAAACATGTTTTCCTTCAGAGGCTGCAACATTATTCAGACACTGATACTCGGTGTAAGTTCCACAGAAAGAAGCTGAGAGATTTTGTTTGTCTTTTACAAGAGCAGGATAGTCATCGTGGTAAAGGTCATAAACCTCATTGTACGACAGGACTTGATGGAACCTAGAAGGAGAGATAATAAGGGGTCCTTAAAAAATTAGTAGGCATTTTAAGGAGGAGATAAATGCATGGTTAATTTTGATGATTGGCCAATACTGGGTGTCTTCAGAATTATTGATACAAATTTTGGAACTTTTCATGATTATTGGACCAGTTTTTCTAGATCAGTCAAGAGGGTATTATTACTGAGCAGTCAGTAATAAGTCGAACAGCATGTTTGTCAAAAGTTGAGAGAATCCATAGGCATACAATAAGCATTAAAAAACGTATGCTCATGACCCGAACTGGATCTTAAGTAGTGTGAGATTAGTGAATCAGTGCCATTTCTCTGTGAGCATCTACTGTAACTAATGTTGAGGAACAGAGGTTTTGATGCTTGAAATAAATAAAGTACCTCTCAAGTAAGTAAGTAATGGCGAAAGAAGCAAATGAGAAAACTTGATAAAAAAACTTTAAGTCGACACTAACTCATCTCTGTATTTTTTGCAAAACGCATCCAGTTCATGAAGCTCGACGGTCTTCTCTTGATCGCTCGAAACAGCAACTTGACTTTCCGGGGCATACTGGGTGCAAGCATTGGTTGGTATTGTAGGGTGTGTTTGGACTTCCTCTTCAGCAACATGCGGAATCGCCTTTTATTAGAAAGAATAAAATTTTATCATGATGTAAATGTAAAAACCTGAAACACTATCATTACACAAAAGACATTTAAAACAAAACTTGATAAATAAATTCAACGAATCCACATTGTGCAAACGTTTTTTACACTTACCTCAAAAAGCACTGAACATAATATATGGCACAACAAACAGATTGCTGTTTGACGCACAGACCTTCTGACAGAGTTGGTGATTTTGCCTTGCGCGATGGATTCAGTGCACGACTGAAATTCTCATTAAAGAACATGAGAGCAAATATGAGCACAATAATCCCCTGTAGAGATATGCTGTTTATAGGAACAGTACTTATGACCGATCAGGAAGGCAATTGTAGATAAGTTTCAGGTCTAATTGGACACATTATCAGTGCAGCGCAGCCTCCTGATTTTTCTGCTTTCAAGCTCAGAGGGGTCATAAAAACCAGACCAGGATTAGGGCATGCAAACTTGCGCAATCTAGTTAGCAATAATCTGAACAGCTCAGCTGAAGCCTTTAGTAAGGCAGTGTTACTACGAACAGATTAAGTACGATTCAATGCATGAGTCATTTAGACAGTTGAAGGATTTTGCTACATGCAATAAATTCAGTATACAACTGAAATTCTCATTACAGAGATAAGATTACATTTCCTTTTACTTCAAAGAGAGAGAGAGAAAAAAAAATAATAATTCGCTGAACTATCGGAATAAAATACTACTTAATCAGAATTTTAGCTACGTTGTTAAACTCAACGTCAATATATCATTCAAGTAGCATTTTTCAATGCAAAAGTTGTAACAAGTTGAAACAATGTTGAAACAATAATGTTCGGTCAACTTTTGGTCAATAAGTGCCGATTTTCAGCGATCTGATTGGAAGACAAAGTTGTAACCTGCTGAGATTGCAAAATTGCTGAACCAAAGTTGTTTAAAATCTAAAGATAGGCAACCAGCAATACTTTGAAGTTGAAACATGTTTCAACTTAGTTGCAACTAGTTCCAACAATGATAGCTCATTCGGGGGAGAGAGTAGGCAATCTGCACACCAATCTATTAGTTGCAAGAATTAAACGATTTTGTTGCAAGTTGTTGCAACCTCTGCTACTTGGGCAGTTATCCTGTTATCTGAACTATATTACTAAATTAACATTGTTGCATTTTTCATGAGAACTTGGAATTCGTTGATTAAAAAATCCAATTAAAAAAGGGTTATACAATACAACAATAATAGACTTTGATAAGGATTGTGTTCGATGCTTAATTTCTTACACACTAAGTATTTCTGACTTTAAGTTTTCTGACTTACTTGCACACCAACATCAAAGACAGTGCTCTCCTTGATTACAAATTTGTCATCTTGATGTGCGACAAGTGAAACTGATAGTTTTTGCACCTCAGACAGTGGTAAATCTTCAAAAATAATAGTCTTCCGTCTTGCACTTGTATCCCCAATCCATTCATAGCTAATCTAAAAAATTTATAAAAAAAAGTTATGAAAATTAAGAAGGCAGTTCGTACAGCCTTACTGATGATATCAATCAAAAAGCTACCCATAAATTGTACCTGATGAAATCTTTGGGGAACTTTGCGAAAAGACAAACAATGTGATATTCAGACAGTATCAACGTAATTTTTCTATTTTGCAGAGACGTAATCTTTGGTCCTTTTTCCCGGTCAAGATTTCCTTCATATGAGCATAACAAAGACTTGCTTTTCAAATTTTTTACAAATATACTTTCATGATGACATCACTGATGATTCTGCAAAATAGAGAGACCAGCCGCTGCACCTCCTACAGCAATAGGTCTTTGTGCTTATATTTCAAAGAGCATCACTGATGATTCTGCAGAAAAGAATAAAGCAGTTGAGGCTAAAGTTACTCTACTTTTAATTATTTTAATGCTTTTCGACCAAAATTGCCTGAAAGATTGAAAAATTGAGTTTTAGAGTTTAAGTTTTTGAGTTGAGAGGACATTTTCAACTGAAATTCACCCAGAATTCAGTCACTCCTATCCTTCTGAACCTGGACTTGACCTGTTCCGAAAAATATACTCACCACGTCTCGTTCATCAGAAACTTGACAATCCGCAATCTCCAGTTCGCTTCCCAGTGACTTCCATGGTCTAGGAACGACATTTTTTGATGACTGAATTCTTCGCAAAAATTCCTTGTGCTTGCTCTGCAATTTTTCCAGGATACCATTCTTTGCGTCTTCTGTGACGCAAATGATAAACTCATTTTCTTTGCTGCGAAATGGCTCATAACCAATTAAAACATCATCATTCTTATACCTCTGCAAAAAAAAATAAAAATAAATAAATAAGAAAAATTTTGTTTGAAGGAGGAGATTTTAGAAGCTGTGAATATTGGAATTCATGATAATATATCAGGATATGTACAGATATTTTAAAATTTCACAAAAAAAATTGCAAACATACGAACATTTGGATTACATTTTGCAATAAGAAACGTTTATCCCTGTCTCTTCTATGAGAGCACATATCTGCATAGAGAATCCAATGGCATATATGTTGTTTCTAAAATGAACCAGGAATAGTGGTTCCTTATTGCAAAATGTAGTCCATTTATGACTGTCCATGGGAAAAGTGACCTTAGACGATAACTCGGAATTGAGTTGTTGATAACAGAGCATAGTGGAGTATCTTACAGTTATTTTGGGACAAAAAGTGCCTGAAAATTTCAAACCCCAATGGAGTTAGAACAGTCTCAAGTTGGCAATTCAAAACCACAGACTTGGTAAAAAGCTATTCGAAATTCTAATTTGTCATGTGTTCAAAATTCCAAAATTATGATGCAACTGAACACCCTTTATGGGCACACAAATTTATTTATTAGGACTTAAGAGGGGGCTTTGGTAAAGAGCTCAAAATCTAATTATTTGTCCTGATTCTTTTTACCGAAAATTATCCTCCTTAATCAGCATTCTTTCTCTTGTGAAAGATCACTTTTAGTATGAAAATTAAGGAAGGTTAAATATTGATGGCTAAATGCAGGAAACACATAATTCATTTACATTGGTTTAAAAATCTCCAGTAACGATTTACTCTCTTTGGAGATGACTAAGTAATGAAAAAGTTTCCTTACAATGTTGTATCATTTTTTTAATGAGTTAAGAAAATTTACAGAGAATTTTGATGCAAACTGTTTGCTGACTTTCCTTTTTTTCCACCAAATATTGAAAGTTTCGTATTTACATTGTTTTACATGATATCTTAACAGTTACTATCCCTTGAAGGTTTGTCTAAAATTCAAAATCTTCAAAAATATTTCAATTTACAGGAGACTTTCAAGAAGAAATGAAGTTTAAGACAGGAAGATTAACCAGTTAGCTTTCTTACAGAGCTTAAATCTTAATTTTATTCAATTTTTGCAGAATAACTTTTTTTTGCCACCCTTTTTACTAGAAAGACCGGAGAGCATAAATGACGCCTGCATATGAAAATTTCCGCTGATGGAAATAAAATCAAAAAGAGCATTCAGACAAACCTTAAAATATTTCTTCAAATTCCAGAAGCAAGATTTGGCTTGGTTTTCTTCCAGATCTTGAAGAATCTCTGCATAGTTGACCTTGGTCCATGTTTTATCAATGAAAAGGTTTTTTCCTACTTGACATTTCAGCTGAGCTTGCTTCTCTGCGGGTAGGACAACAGGGAAAACTCCACTCTCTGCACATTTTTCCGCATCTAAAATAATAATGAAAAAAGTCAATGCTGTTAGCAATAAAGAGTTGGAGAATTTTGCTCCTGGTAATCATGAATCCTAAAATTAAATGATGCCTTGATCAGTGAATTTTATGGAACATGAAGATTTATTACACTACGTAAGAAATAATATTTAAGCTGGAATGTAGAGCTTTTAGCTTTCCGCCAAGTGTCATATTTCGAGTTAAATTCCAGGTCCAGCTCTTCGGTGTGTTGGAGAAAAAAGTGTCATCTAATACCCATCAATCTTTTCTGGAGAAGAATGTTGCCTACAATTTGCCCTTGGAGTTCAGCCTACTGCCTGATGCTTTCAGACATAGGTTGATCACGGAGGGCAGGTTGAGCGCGCCCAGTCTCCTCAGCGAGTGGCTCAGAAATGTTTCTGAAATAATCATCAATTTACTTTCACCTTCCTGTCTGCTAGATAGACCATCCCTTTATTTTCTTTCTATACCTTCATTCCTGCAATACCATCCACTACTGTTTTAAATTTTGTTTGTTTTTTTTCTTTTCCTCTCTTTATATTGTCACTGAATTAATTACACATAAGCTAGTTAGGCAGTGGTGCCAATCGCTCGATATTTTCCTTGTTATCGATTATAATTTTTTTATATATTTTACTACCTATGCCACACAAGGTTGGACCTCTTGGCAAATTTGTAGTACTGGCTTACATTATTTTACCATAATATGTACTTATTTTCTGATTCAATAAATAAAAAAAAAAAATCTAATCTTTAGAAAAATTTGAAAATTGATTTTTGAAATCTCTCCTGTAGGTATACATTTTTCTGTTTTCTAGGTATTTTAGACCAAAAAAGAACCGTGACTTTTTTGCTTTGAGGGCTCAAGTGAGCACCAAGCGGATTGGTCAATTAGAGTCAAATCGTAAAACTGGGGGCCGCCACTCGGCCCGCAATTTGTATTGCGGCACTTGTTTTCTCTTTGAAACGAATGGACTGGTAAAGTTCATGGTGCATCATTTCATTCATTTGAACGATGTATATTCAGTACTATCATCTCAATTTCATCTACCATCAAGATGACGTATCTTTCATCAAAACGACATGTCAACCAAAGTCGACATGACCATGAAAAAAATCCAACAATACCTGAACTGGCGCTTTTGGTTTCTGACTCTTGGACTGACGACATCTACTTCTTCTCATTTCATTTTTTTCAAACTGCAAAGCGGTGGAAATCTGCATGCTACGGAGAGCTGAAAGTTTCGCTGTCATAGACTGTTTGTAACCAACGAGGAAGGACAGTCCAGAATCTTTGACATGAAAGTCAAACTTATCATCATTGTGGCGGTAAGTAACAGGTGGCATCTCTAGTCTCTAGGAAACCTGCTGATATTGATTAAACACACGCACACAGCAGAGCAACAGGAACGGTCGAGAGGTGGGTGTTTAGTTTGAAAATGCGAGTACCCACGTTATGATAAGAAAGACTTCAGAGACAATCAGTTTTACTCTCAATTTCGGAGAGATAAAACATTTAACTCACCGTTACCTTGATCGTGATGAAATTTGATTACTACTGTATGTATTGCACGACCGGGACTGATCGCAATTATTAATTATGGATTGTGATAATTGATAACAAACTAATTACTTATGTAGTGATAAGGGCTGCCGGTTTGCGGATTTTTGTTTACACTTTGCTTGGCATGTTGCATAGCTGGCCGGGAGCTGAAAGTCCTCGCCGCCGCAAATGCCGCAGTACTGCCGCAGTGTCACAGGTGGGAGGGGAAAGTACATCATTAAGGAAAGTGGTAGGTGGCGAGGAGGGGTGAAGGAATGAAGTAATTACAGCAGGGATTTAAAAAGAAAAGCAGAAATACGGGATGAAATATTCAGAGTAAATATCTCTGTAGATCTGAACTTCCAGCGGGTCCCGACATTCAGCCCCCCCCCCCCCCCCCCCNGATAACGCCAAAGGGTGTTGAACTCCCGCAAAATTCATCGCAATGTATAACAGAGACACGTTTTTCTCTCCTATTTTCATCGTATGCAAGTAATTATCAAAGTATAATGTTAAAAAATTAAATCCATCTGTCATCGGACTTTCTTTTCCTTCGAAAATCATTATTAGGTGAATTTTGGGCAGGATACATTGTCTTATCCAGACGAATGTAGACATTTTTAAAGTATCTAATTTGAAATGTTGAAATTTGAATTTCACTGGCGCACTTGAACTTTTATTGAAGTAACAGAGTGTGTACTAACTACTAAAACTTTTGACTCATGCTGGTAAAAGTTTCGAAATTTGAATATTCGCGGGTTTTCTGCGTACGGCGGGTCTGGCGGGTTGCATAATTTTGTCATGTGTGCACGCATGATTGAAATTCAAATCATTATGAATTTAATGTAAGACATTAATATAAACTTAGAAATTCATGAGTTTATTTTTTAGTTATACATAGATCATTTAAATACGAAAAAAGTCTGGGAACAATTATTGGAGAATTTTTTTAATTATTTTCCGGAAATAGTGCCTATCATCTTTCGGTGGTCGATGTTTTCGGGCGGTTGATGATGCTCATCTTCCCCTTTCCTTTTTCGTGAAGCGGTTTCGGAAAATGGTAGTTGTGTAGGCTGAATTCAATGCAGTGGTTGTGAATTGTTTTTATTTGTTTGCCGACTAGCGGTGTTTAAAAATTCGCGAACTTTAGATCAATTTATCTTCATTTTACCATCCCCGCATATATATTACATCCAAGATGAGTGACGAAAGTCATCCGAAGACGTTGTATGTCGGTAATTTAGACCAATCTGTGTCGGACGAATTGCTTTGTACATTATTTTCCCAGATAGGCCCCGTGAAAGGATGCAAAGTCATTAGAGAACCAGGTAATGATCCGTATGCCTTTCTAGAATTTACAACACATCAAGGGGCTGCAACTGCCCTCAGTGCAATGAATAAACGTGTATTCCTTGACAAAGAAATGAAGGTTAACTGGGCCACTTCCCCTGGTAATCAGCCTAAGCAAGACACAAGCAACCACTATCACATTTTTGTTGGTGATCTAAGTCCTGAAATTGAAACACAGACCCTCAAAGATGCTTTTGCACCATTTGGAGAGATTTCCAATTGTAGAATTGTTCGTGATCCTCAAACCCTGAAATCGAAAGGTTATGCGTTTGTTTCATACGTCAAGAAGGCTGAAGCGGAGAATGCAATAGCAGCAATGAATGGACAGTGGCTGGGCACCAGAAGTATTAGAACTAACTGGTCGACAAGGAAACCTCCTCCTCCACGTAATGAAAGGTCCAGGTCCACTAATAACACTAAAGCCCCCACCTATGAAGAAGTCTATAACCAGTCTAGCCCAACAAATTGTACTGTATATTGTGGAGGATTTACGAATGGACTATCTGACGAACTAATTCAAAAAGTTTTTTCTCCTTATGGTACTATCGTCGACATTCGTGCTTTCAAAGATAAAGGTTACGCTTTTATCAAGTTCTCAACGAAGGATTCAGCCACGAGAGCTATTGAAGCAGTACACAACACAGAGATCAACGGGCAAGTGGTAAAGTGTTTCTGGGGTAAAGAGTCCAACGACCCAACCACCAACAATACAAACAACACTCCTTCAACAACACCACAACCGCCAGGATCTGGAGCCAATGCAACGCAGTACCCATACAATCTCTACACTCAGCAAATGGGCTATTGGTATCCGCAAGGTTATGCTGCTGGCATGCAAGGTCAGTATTTCCAAGGAATGCAGTCAGGTCTAGCCTACGGACAATTCGGCTATCCTCAGAGTTACGCTAGGATGACACTACCCGGATGGCAAGGATTACCGTCCCAGACCCCAGGTGCTGGTCCCCAAATGGCCGTCGCGGCACAAGGTGCTGCCATGCAACAACCCGGAGCCATGATGTACACGATGCCGCAGTTCCAAACACAGTGAGTTAATGGTTTAGTGCTTTAATTTGTGTGATATTGGCAGACTTTTTTGTTGGATTTTTTTTTTGTAAAGCGAAGGGATTTTAAATTGAACGTCTGCGTTCCTGTAAATACTCAATGCCAATGTGGTTGAACCTTGAACTTTATGACTAAGCTGTAACGTTCATCCTGTGTAAAATATTATGATTTAAAATCGCTCTTTGAATTCAAAGTGTTTTTGCTCTTCTTCTAAGCCCCATTAATATCCGTAACTTCTTACGTTCTCTGAAGACCTGACAATAGTCTCGATGTGCTTTAAGAAGATTTCTGAAATGACCATAGTGCTGCCAAACAAGTGCTAAAAAAGCAAAGATGTAACCTTTTTACTTTGAAATTTTGCAAGTCACGGTATAGCTTTTTTGTTTGGAAGTAAAATTCCTTTGCACTGAAAAGTTAACGATTTTGTTTCGTCACTTCACTTACTTAGGTTTTGCAGTAAGCTTTTAATGAAATTAGGTCCCTGTCAATGAGCTCCTCATCGAAAATTGTACAGAGAAAGATACTATAACATGGCCTCCCTTCCTCCTTTTCTTTCCAATTTCTATTTGTTAGGTACATCTTTGCCCCGTAAGCCGAATGATCAATATTGAGTCTGGTCAGTGTGATTCTCTCGCCAATCCCATCTTTTTCAAAGTTCAAATGAAAATGGTCTTTCGTGTTGTTCAAGATGTACTTGCCTGCTTATCTACAAACCAACACTGAAAAAGAAGAAATGTTCCAATTGGACTCAATCTTTCTTGCACCATTTTCATCTTAGTTATTCAGACAGTTTTTCAATGATGCGAACATTCCTATCGAAATGCATTGATGCAGCATTCTGCTGTCTTAATTTTCTTTTTGTTTACCGTATTTTGTAACTTGTCTCGTTGACCCAGTTTGATCCATGGACCCACTTTAAGTAAAAACATTTTTAATAAAAAAAACACTGAATCAGCTAAGATTAATGAAACCATAACTCAACGTAAAGGATAATCTTATGTGGTGTTTTCATGAAATTTATCCAAGTACTTAAATATCTAACCACAGATTCCAATCAGAACTTGATAGCAAATAAGTAACTCCTGCTCTGTATTTTGCATGTTGGTATTTTTTGTATTTTTTCTTCTTCTTCAAGTACTGTTTAGTCATTAAATTCAACACAATTCAATCGATTGAATGCGGTTTTAAAATCCTAATCTGGTTCAGTGGAATTTTCTCCAATAGTACTTAGGTATGAAACTTGTCGACAATCTTGCCTCAGCTCTGTTAAAGCCATCAAGCTTTATTGTGCATTTTTAAGTGAAGAATCCTAGATTGCCAGTTTCTTTAAAAAATAGTGACTATTCCCTGTGCTTTGCTGTACAGTTTGAAAATTATCGAGTAAACTGGCAAACTAAGGAACTGTATTTGTATTAAAATATCCAAGTATAAATTTCATTTATTGATAAGAATATTCTATATTCACCTTGCCGGATTGAGATGATTGTAGTTTTTCACACCAACAGAAAGCAGCGTTAAACAAGCTTTTCTTTTTTGGTTCTTTTGTAATTAACATATTAAATTCAGAAGGAGTCCAAATAAGCTAAGTTACTTCCTCTTCGAACCTTGTTTTCTTCACAAAATATGCCCCGAAACTTACTCGTATGTAAGAAGCCATGAAAGGCTTGAATTGCAGCGCAAAGAGAGAGAAGCAGGCATTAGAAGTGGGGGGAAAAGAATGGACAAATATCACATCAGAAAATGGCACCACCTAACAGAAATTAATTTGCAAACCAATGAGTCACTTGATGATTAATGCATTCAGCTTGATACGACATTTGTCCGTTCTTTTCCTTCCCCAGCTCTAGCTACTTTTCGAGGATGGACTCGCGTGAATTTCGCAGCGGTGCAGTGCAGAGAACAAGTTAGAAAATGAAGAGAACAATGGTGAAGCATGTCTTGTTTGCGTATAGTTCATCAGCTCATGAGCTGTTAGAATTAAAACTACTGTCCATACGACAAATTCAAATGTTTTTGTTCATTTTGCTAAAATGATCTGCCTTTGGTACAGTTGAATTAAAATATTTATGACGCCGTGATTGATTGCTTTAAATCAAAGTTAAAATTTGAGAACTTAAGGAGCCCGCATGTGACATCCCAAAATTATTTCCACAAGGTTTGGGAACCACCCTTGGGCATGTATTCTTCAGTTCAAAAACTTTCGGAAGGGTTCCAGTAGGTAAATAAACTTTTTAATGCTGCTTCACTGCTAGCCGCTCAAACGTAGCATCCTCAGTCTTACTTGGACGTATTTCTGCCAAACGGAACTATGTGCAGTATGACGCGAGCCCTGTTATTCGTATATTCTTATGGATCTTGGGGCTCATGGCTTAATGCACATAGTTCCATTTGACAGAAATACGTTCACTTGTTAGGATTTACCTATTTCGATATTCGTTAAGAAAAGCCCGTCAAGACAAAATTTATTTACTCCCAAAATATTTTGTTTTTCACTCAGGTTTCATCTGTCATTTTCGTCTTTTCTTAAAGTTCTGTCAGGTAACTCTATTCTTCAGATTAAGATTTAGGATTTAGTATTACTTACTTCCTCAGCTCTCTTAAATATAGAAGCAATGCTCAATGTCGAAAACGTTATGCCAAAATTTGGTAGCACCGTGTAGACTCTGATTGGTTCGCTCGTTTCGTTCTGTTTGAATGGTGGGAAAGAAGGTCTCTCTTTTTTTAAATTTTTCCTTGGTTTGTAATCAAACTTTTTGGGTAGACCCTGCATCTCACTAACAATATTCTGCGGCTGTCCTGACATTACAATGTAGGTTGTATTCTCAATCGCTCCTTTGGTTTTAGGGCGTCCTTAACCAACGCAATTATCACAAGCTCTAAAGTTTGAGAAACAACTATGAATACAGCCCTAAATCTTATTTAAGTCAGGGAGAAACAAAAAGTAATTTTTCCCTTGAAAATTAATGCAAACAGAATGAATACAAAAGTAATCAAGAAGGTGTATAAATATTCAATCATTGTTTTTTTGGTTTTTTTTTTTCTGGGGAATAAAATTAGCTCACTAGATATGTCCCCTCCAAATTTTTTATTTAGTTCATAGTTCAAAACTTGATCATGCCTGGTAATTATGTTGGTTTTGTTGGCTCTATGCAACATTTTATCTTCTAAGAAATGTATCCCACTAAGCTGCCTTTATGATCCTTTGAATGACTAGCCTCATGCAATCTTTTACTAACTCGGCCACAAAAATCTTCCATTTGTCATGGTAATACTTTTTTTTTTATTTTATTAAATTAAATACACTTTGATGTTGTCAGTTTATTCCAAAGAAATAGCAAAAATTTAGCGCAGGGTCAAGCAACGCTTCCCTCAGTTAATGCCGAGTTTTTTCTTCAATATTTGTATGTCAGAATTATATTTTCGTAAAAATATTAGCATTTCCTCAAAATCGTAAAACTAGTCTCCCCCTCCCCCCACCCGTCATCCCCTCTCTGAGCCGAAGGTTGTGTGCTGCTGCCTTTCGTAAATGTGTTGAAATATACAATGGTTCATTTAAAACTGTAGATTTATTTCCATTCATGGGTAATCATTTTCATTTCTGTTCATTATACCCTGAAATGAAGAAGGTAAACTTTATGACTATATATAGGTACATGAAACCACGTACCAGGGGCCAATAATCGAACAGGAAAGCTGAATTAAGAAAAGAAGCTCATTTTTAAATTTTATGTTCTCCGTACCTACTTAATCACTTACCTCTCAAAAAATATCGGAAGTCAGGCTGTCTCCAATCAAAAATTAGTTTTTATAATTTTCAACTGGTACAATATATTAACTCTTTTAAATCGGTTTAGTATCCTTTCTAACTTTTAGAACATACAATCAAAATCTGCAGATTAAAATTCACGTATTTTTATATTTTTTTACTCATCCCCAGATTGGATTTTTGTGCCTATCTCCGAGAGTCATTTATTTCTGTGTAAATTTGTCTTGATGTTTTTCAGAAACTTTGTGATGAAGATTTTTGTATGAATTGCTGTTACATAGCTTTAAATGTGAGTGTAGGTAGTGCATAAAAGTTTAGTCTATTTTTTGTAAGCAACAAATATTCCAGTTTTCAGGCTCACCGAAAAAATTCGGAAATAACCTCTTCGCTCTCATCACACCCCGAAACAGCTTTTTAGTTGCCTAGACCAGCCAACTTTACCCAACTTATGAAATTGACCTCAGAGAAATCCATTTGAAAGTTCTGAGGAGAGTCTTAATCTATTTTAAATGTTCCATCGAAAGTAATTTTCATACAAATTGTTTCCTGAAGAAATTAAATAGGATAAGGAGCCTTGTCCCAAAGGCTACCTGTAAGATCTCAATTTTTTATCTTATTTTTTGAACAGCTTATTCTTTAGTGTCAGTAAGTTTAGACAAGTAAATTACAATTTTATGATTTCTCCAAAGTTCCCCTTTAATCCCTGAATGGTTGATCATACAATTAATCTTTTTTTTTTATCAAGACTCTGATAAAGGATCTGCAAAGTAGAGAAAAGCTATTAAGTATCCAATAATGATTCTGATCTTACTCCAACTCGAAAAAACTTTTATAATATTATTTGTCTCCTGAATTTTTGAATGGTAGATTGCCCTTATTGATTCTAAATTTTTGTTTCAATTCAAAATTTGATTCGACTTAGCCCACCCTGTCTCTTTGTAGAAAAGAAATTTGAATTAGTCAGTATCTCTTTAACTGAAACATGCACTTTCACAGAAATCTCGGGGAGCATTTGAGTTATCTTCTCCAAAATTCAAAATCTGAAAAAAAGTATAAAAGCTACGAAAAATTGTAGAGATCAAATTCTAAAGACACAGCTGTAAGATGAAGATGTATTTTTGCACCATTGGAAGACCACGTGGTGTGTGTGGCTCCATTTTATTTCAGAAACATATATTTTTGGATCCCACGATTTAAAAAAATATTTTTTTTGATGCCTTAGTATTTTGAGTGTCGATTGGAAAAGAAGTACTGAGAGTGAGAAATTCGAAGATTTTTCCCCCTGAGTGTGAGTTAGTAAGCTTAACAGCTTTTCTCTGTTCTTTGAAGAAAATTAACTGTTACAAAGGTTAACACGACTTACTTGTAAATAGAAAAAATAGAAATATCGAAAAGCAGAGGGCGCACTATTGTCTTCAAGATTTCAAGACAGTTGACACCCTTAACTGTTTGCATAAGTTTTACTTTATTTTTGTATTGTTTTTCGTAAGTAGGTAGGTAATTTATATTGTAGATTAAGATGGCTCATTTTTGAAGTCAGTTGTAATGTATTCTGCATTAAAAGTTGATCCAGAAGATCTTCTTGGTTTTTCACACCCTTAAGATGAAAAATTAAGTGTCGTCACTTAATACCTAGTAGGAAGCAGAAATTCTAGTCTTCCTTTTGAAATGTAATAACTTCGACAAACGAAATGAGAAATGTTACCATTTAGTTGAGCCAAGTTATGTAAATCTAGCATAATAAGAAACTGTATCTTGAAAACTTTGTCTCGTTTCAATCACCTTCCCCCTCCTTACGGAATCTAAATTTGGAACAATCTACCTCTTAAGTTTTAGTCCGTACACTCTTAACATTAGGCTGTTCTCAATAGCATGAATGTTGTTGACCAAATGTGTGGACCCTGGGCGTTCTGTTAGTTCGAAAACATTTCTGTGAAGAAGCAACAGAATTGCTTTGACATCTTAAAAAAGTCTCCAAGTAGTGGATTGATACCCCAAGGTTTTTATTGTAGCGTCTATATATATGTTTAAGTTGCGTTGTGTATTACATCGTATTCTTAAGGTTGGAACTTCCTTAAGAGCTGGAATGAATAAGATCCGTTCAAATGACTAAGTCTTTTTTTTTGTTCCAATTCGTCAAAGAAGGATCACAGTGATCTTTATGTCATCCAAAGTGGTCTTCAAGAATATGATCATTTCTTCCAACTTCGATCTATCAGCATTGTGCATATTTTAACTGATTTTTGTACCTTTCCTGGTAGAACAAAAATATAAAAACCTGCTAAAGTGACAATGGACCACTAGACAAGGTACGAATTTCAGCATTCTGATACATGTTTCTCAACCAAAATTTCACGTAGAACACGATACGCACAACGAAAATCACCAAAATCAACTCCTGACGAAGATATTTAAGGATTCTTGACGCGTGAATTCAAACCACCCGCTCATGAAAACTCAATGCTCTACGTGATTCACATCGCGCGCTAAATGTTTATCATGACAGTCTCTGCGATGTAAAAATCTTCAACTTCAATCTTGATACTTTGGCTCAGCTATAGCAAATTACCAATAGTCTGAATAACACATGGTGGAAAATGAACATTGCTCGATTGAGAAGCTTGCTGGAACCGTTGTAGTGCGCGATTTGACTCACGTAGAGCTTTGAGTTTCTTGTGAGCGGGCAGTTCAAATTCCTCGTTATCAGTGCGAAATAAAAACGTTAATATCTTCGTTAGAAGTTGATTTCGGTAATTTTCGTAGTGTGAATCGTGTTCTACGTGAAATTCTGGTTACGAAACATGTATCAGAATCCTTTAATTCGTATCTTGTCTAGTGGTCCATTGCAACAGATAACATCAATCTCATTAAAAATCGATGAGATTCCTCTGTTAAAAATCGATTTTGACAAACGCATCTTATTTGTTTCCAGTTTTCGCAGTTCTTACAATTGTCCTTTCTGTGCAACTAAAAATGTTTTCGTTCGTTTCTCCATTCCCAGAAACGGTGACGTGAGGTCTCCTTTTTCATGATAGAAAAAGATACCCTACCTCTTTTCTGTTTGAAAGCCCCACGTATTTGAAATCCTTCCCGAATTCGCCCTAGTGAATTTCACCTTCGAAATTTACAAGGGCTCAACAAATCACACACTGCTGACATTGAATCGCAAGACTGTACATATTCACCGTATTCAGCGTTAAAATCCATACTTTATTTTCTCTCTTCTTACTCTCAACTTTTCTAAAAAAAAAATTGACAAATCGTTGACTGCTAACATTGAATCCTAAAAGTGTATATACTTATCGTCCTCAGAGTTAAGATCCTCGCCTCATTCTTATTTTTTCCCTTTTTATTTCGTTTTATTTCCCTCTTTTCATTTACACTTTCTTTTTCTCCTTTTTCTACTGTTAATTTCCTCCTTTTTTTCATTTTATTTCCTTTTTATTCCCTCTGTTTCCCTTATCATGTGGTGCACCAACAGATTTCTGGGCTCAAGTCCCACCACTTTTTGACTCTTCAGTACGTGACTGCTTATTCTTACCTACTTTTTTAAGTTTCAAGGTTCTAAGTATGTTCCTTTTTTGTTTGTGAATGCCTTCCCCGTGAACTCTAGTGATCCATTCTTGTGACTTTGTTCCTGTAGGGTCCTTTTTTGGAACTTAAGATAGTATGTTCCAAACATGATTTCCGTTCCCCCCCCCCCCCCCNTTAGTCCGCGGTGTCTTAAACATTATTGTTCACGCATTACATCTCGTAAGAAAAGGGCAAAAATGAAATCTCCTGTTAGCATTTCAAAACTGTTTCATCTTAAGCAAGCTTCCTTGTGAATCTGTCAAAGTGGTAAGCAATCCACACTAGCTGTCTGAAAATGGACCCATCTTATTAATTTACTACTTTTTTTACTTCCTCCCTGTCCCCTCCCCATGTCTCGTTTAGAGTTACTGTAACTTAACGATAATTCTACTCTTTGTAAATATCTTGCGCTCCAATTTTGACTACGAAAAGAAAACACGCACCAAGTCATGATTCCAATAGCACATTCAGCAAAGAGACGTTCCTCTATTTATATTGACTGTCTCTTCAGTGATATGAATTCAAAGACGTTTGTTGGAAAGCAACATGAAGTAAAAGTAGAGAAGGCTCTATTTTTAAATAATTTTACAGGAGTTCGAATCTACTATCAAGTATCTACTTTTAGTTGGTTAAAAATTGTACAAATTTAAAAAAAAAGAATTGTGAAAAAGTAGTTCTATTCTTGTACAGATTGGTCTCTCAAGGTGCTTTGACCGTGCACCTTTTTGTAAATAATCATCCGCATGTGATTAAGTTCAGAAGAAAATAAATTATTTAAAAATAACTATTAGACGTTTTTCCTCCTGTTGCCCCTCCATGACCGGGATTAATGAGGCTCTTCATTATTTTAAGTACTCCCCTGTACATATTAAAAACATTTCAGATGTCTGCAAATGCTGCAAGGTAAAAAATTCAGCTCAGACAATGTTTACTGGTCCATGGTAACATTTTGGCAATGTTAGAAAGACCAGCCTCCAACCTTCATGAGACTGAACATTTCAATTAGACGTATTTCTGCCGAACAGAACTATGTGCATTAAGACATGAGCCCTGAGACTCATGAGAATATATGCATGACAAGGCTCATGTCATAATACATATTTCCGTTAGGCAGAAATACATCTAGTTGTGATTCGGAAATAGTAGCATATTTGCAAATGAAAGTCTTTGAGGAATTCAAATTTCTTTCCTGTTTGGTGATGTAATAATCAGCAAGAACAAATATAACAAAAATGCATGTATTCAGAAACATCAGCATAAAAATTTACAATTAGCAAGTATGAAAAGTTACATTTACTTCCATAACACAGATGAATGAGAAGAGCACTTGCAAGAATGAAAAAATTTCTCTTTCAAAAAATTCATGGCCAACCATCCTGTTGCTTAATAAGTACTATTGCCTCCATAAAGTTCTGGAAAGTTCCTATATTAACCCTCCAAATTAACTATTGAATGGTTTACCTGGAAAGCTTCTGTTGAATTAATGTTCAAAGTTTAGAAATTTACCTAGAGACTTAAAGAAAGAGAGCTCCGACTAAAAAAAGACAATAGGGAGTGCTACTCATCTTTTGAAATACTCGCCGATCAGTATATTAAAAAAAAAAAAATGACATATTTCTGTAAACCAGCTCTTTTGCTACTAAGCTAAAAAAATAAGTCAAAAATTAGATTTAGAATAGAAAAATTGTACCGTGACAAGCACTGATTAAATTTGAAAGTCGTCTACTTGAATGAATGGAGCTAAGTGATACTGTCATATCTACATTGCAAGGTTTCAAAACCTCATCTGCTATTTTAACATTTTGGAAGGGAACCAACCGACATTTTTGCTTACAATTTTATAATATTATGGTATGATCTTCTTGCGGGCAAGAAAAATTTTCAAGTAAAGCTGGTTGGTTTCCTTCCAAAAAATTGAAATAGGTAGGAAATCAGATTTTGAAACACGTCAGTATGTATGTAACCGCTTAACTCTTTCCAATTTTAATTGACTGCTGGCGGGAAAACGGCTTTTCAGATGGAGCCTAAAAGCATAGTACGAGCAAATTTCTATCACTTCCTACAGGAATTTTCAAATATTTTCCCACAATATTGATGAATTGCAATATTAAGCTGTGCTGTGATCATCTCTCTAAGCCTCTAGATTCTTTAGATAATACCGTTATGAACAGAAAAGAACTTTTCCTGCATCTCAGATTTAAAATTAACACTCTCAAACAAAACCAATCCTCACAGGTCAGTCATCGCGCATCTGACCTTCACTCAACCGCAGCCAGTGCGACATAGAATGGGCGTCTACCGTAAGGAATGCATTGCCTTCAAACTTCCTGCACTAATGTGCAAAAGGGTCTCGAAATTTGTTTAATGGAATGACTCACCTGTGTGGATTGGTCTTGTTCTCGAGTTAATAAGATGTTGTCACATTGCTTAAATGTAATGAAGGACCTGACACACTTGACTGTAAGAAAATGATCAAGCACTTTTCAAGGCCGCACGATCTACACAGAATAAAAAATCTTTTGACCGAGAACTAAAATCTAAAAATTTGAGGAATGTCAACACATTACATGCCAATAAGTCTCTAGCAACTGTTCGCTGGGGGCCTGTAAAACATGGTTAAAATTTTGACAGCAGTCGAAAAAAGGCACTGAAGCCAGGGTCAAAAAAATATTTGTTTACAACTGATTTGAGGTTGATAACAGCTAACTGACTTCTGCCTCATAAGCTTGACACTATGTCGCAGAGGCATGTTTATGTTTAGCCTAGGACCTTGAATCTTACATGGCTTGCGATGTATAAAGGGTCGGGGATTTTTGAGATGAAAATTCTGGCCACTCCTGGTACAAGAAGGAATGGCATGTATGTTGCTAATACGGTAGATCATAATGAGAAAGAACAGTGGGGCATTTTAAGATACTCTCAGTGTAATTTACTAATGTGGTAACAGAGCTGATGTAAACTGACTCTGTGTTTGAAAAATGTGATAAGGTCGCCCGTTTTTTTAGCAGCCTATCAAATGAGTCTCTTGAGCTTTGTCCACACTTTTACTCTGATTAGCATGCCTACCTTTATATTTATAAATGTTGAGAAAAACTAAATGATGATTGGTCGATGCGAAATTTCTGGCACACTTCCCATAGAGAAATTTACTTCATAAAATTAGAATGCAACAACTACAGCATACCTTAATATTAAAAAAATTGATCGCAAGGGACTAAAATATTAAAGGGGCCGGAGAGAACGAACAGATATTACAGAGAGATTACAGAAAATGATGGTCGATTGAGGATTTCACCCACCGGTGTTGCACACATGAACAAAGATAGAGACTAGGCACATGGACATAGACAATCACCAAAACTATGTTTCCCCTTAATTTGGCACCATGCTTGAACTAATTGAACTTTAATATTGGTCAATTTTGCTGTAAAAGGTTGCTTTTTCTTAAAAACTGAAAATTCACCCTGTCATATCCAGTAACATCATCAAATGATGCGGAGAATGGCCTTTGAATTTTAACTGGCCACCCACTCCTGCATTTTCTCCACGCTCAAAAATTAATTATTTTTCAATCTCCATATTTCAACAAAAAGTTTCTGTTTCTAATCTTCTGCTTCTGCTTCTTCTGCTAATCATCTCCCTTAAGGTGGTTCTTCAGCTTTTTGGAAAACGATTCAACTGTCGATCAATCAATTGATGATTTCTGGATTATAGGACATTCCTTAAGAACTTCCAAGCATCTCATTTCGCTGCACTGCGTCAGGTATTTCTAGCCAAAATACACTTCAAAGCAGCACAGTCCAAATGAACATCGCAAATCTTTCTGTCGATCCATTAGCAGTATTCACTCAAACCGAACTTTTGGAGTCATTTTGACTTGCTTCTTGATCATATTTTGTGTTCAAATACCTGATGCACCACGGCGTAGTAAGATGCTTGGAAGTTCTTGAAAAATGTTCTAAAATCCAGAAATTATCAGTTGATCCATCCGCGATTAAATCGCTCTATGAGGTGCTCAGGAACAACCTTAAATGGAAAGGAAAGATTCCTTTCTAGGATGAATTTTAATAAGATCAGACAAAATATAAATCACAGCTGAAAGCATATCATATGATCTGCTCCAATTAGGACTAGGAATTATATACAAGTTGAATATGTTTATCTAAGCAGAGACTATATCGCATCTACTGGCTTCTTCTTACAACTAAAACAACTTAATATAATTTTTCTTATAGTAACGTGAATCAATTTGAGTAACAAAGGCGTAATGCAGAAGCAAAGCTTCTACAAATATGAGCAATTTTTCCGAACATACATCAGTGCTTAAAAAAAGAAGAGACTGTAAGGCAGACGAATACAGCCTACAAATATGAAAAATGTTGTCGGTTTCCGAACGAATTCCTGATCAGCTGAAACTAAAAGCTCTTTTGCCGTCGTGTGCCAGACGAAAGAACATATCTCCATTCCAGGGTTACAAAATCTACTTACACAATTTTATTTTCACATATATGAGTAACTCAAACGAGTTATCGATTGCAGCCTCAAATTTTGGGGATTTTTATAGTAATCAGTGGAAAAAACTGAAATTTTCAGTGAAAAGAACTATATATTGTTTCTTAATAGAAATACACATTTAGAGCAGAAATTTGGCAACATGAAGGTGGAGTTACGTCCTTTTGTCCACGAAACGGCGATGTAAATAAAATCTGAGTAATAATAAGTGTAGCAAAAAAGAATAATTCAAGTATTTGCAAAGGTTTTCAATATAATTCACGACTCGTTTTAACTTGTTGTTGGTCGTACAAGAGTAATTATTTTATTGCAGCTGCATGATAAAGCTTTCACTAAAAGAAGTAAAAAGTAATTGCATACGTTTTAAGACATTATAAGCAATTGAATTTTGTACAAAGTAGATTGTGTGTGCTCAAAGCACATCACGCAATTGAATTTGAATTGGACGGATGCTCGAACAGTTAATTAACTTGTCAATATTGATAATAAAGCGAAACAATTTGATCAGCGGCACATTTTGAAATAAATTTGAACATGAAAATTTGATGTGGAAATGAAAAGGAGAACTAACACCGGTACTTACTTAAAAGTTTTTTTTTTTTCTTTTTTTTTGGGGGGGGGGGGGGGGTGGAAGAAATTAGAGTAGGGTTTTTTTGTGACTTCCACAATTTTCTCTATCTAAAGGCAAACTATTATCAGAAATTGATGGGTAAGTTTCCCTCTGAGAAAGCATAATGAAGCAGAAGTTTTGAGATTTTTCGACTGACTTGCTTTTTTTCATAGATTATAGCCATCCACATAAATTTATCAATTGAGAGGTTGAAGTTAGAGAGGAAAAAATTATGAGAAAAAAAATGAATTTGGAGCACAGTACGTAACTGTGTGATTATTTAAAACACAAAACTGTCTTATGAAACCGAGGAAGTGCCAATAGAGAAAATAATATTTATCAATGGTTCAATGCAAGAATATAATACTGAACTGCCAGCAGTATAGTGCAGCTAACTTATTTTTAAAATCACTTAGCAGTAAAGCAGTAAAGTATTATGCCAATTGAATAAACATGCTGCTCCCGAGAGAGATATTTATGAAGTAAAGATACAAAATACACTTACAAAAATAAGATCAAAAGTATATTGGTAATTTTTCACTGCAAAACCGACATTAGAAATGCTGCCTTGTTGACAGCAATTACAACATTAATTAATATCATACACTCTCAGTCTAGCAACTTTATCACTTATTCAAACGAACTATTTTGTTGATTTAACCTTCTTGGAGTAAAAAGAGAGATTATTACAGTCCTCATGTGAATATAGATTGTCAAGTTTTAAACAATAAATTAAATGTTTAATAACTTCATATGTTCTTTTCGATATTCTTTTTGTAATTTTACTCCAGGCTATGATCATTTTGGCCGAACAATGGCCATCATCATGGAACTAAAAACTCGCAATGTACGTTAAAGTGGTCACTTTTTTTCTTTTTTTTGGAATCATTTTATTCAAAACCTGAAAAACTTTTATAAAACTAACTCTTTCTGTAACCTTGTGTACCTCGTGAGTATTTGGCCTGTTGATGGCCTATGTTTGGTCAAAGTGATCATTGGATAGGAGAAAATCACAAAAAAAAAAAAATCTGGAGGAACAGGTAAAAATTATTAAAAATTGACAATGATCCCCGATTGAGCCGAACCCTACTCGAGTTAAAAACAGTTGGAAGGGGAACCAAAAAGCAAAAAAGTAGGCAGGTGAGTAGATTTGTTTGCAGAAAATAACTCTATTCTAAAGGTTGCTGAAACTTTCCAACTTCCTCTTTGCCCTTCAGGTAGAGGAAGAAACAGATTTTAGCAGAAACGTAAATAAATTCCTACTGGTGCAAGTGAGGAAAAGTAAATGTCCATAAAAAATAAGACCTAAACTAAGATGACAGAGGATATACTTGGAAAAAAATAAAAAGAAATAAAATAAAATATAGGCGGCAACATGTTCATGTTTTGATGGCCACTAAATGCAGGAGGACTCATTTCTTGCCGGTAAAACACTTTGAGTGGACCGACAAGGACAAACTACTGTCAAACTACTTTAAAAAGCCTCAAGCAGGAGTCAGAACAGTCGAAAGATGGCCTTACTTTTCTCATTGTCAGAAATACTTTAACTCAGCTAAAACTAAGTCATCAAACTGACTTCTCTCCTAGCGACTGTTTAAAGCTGCTTGAGGACAAGTTCATAAGTGTAAACAAGGTGTAAGTAGCTCAATTTAGAACAGAATTAAGAATTAATTCAAGAAAATATGCCTGTTAGTAAAGAATATAAACAGTAACAAAAATCTAAAGCACCGGGTCCATGACAAACATTGAAAAGCTACGCTAAATAAAACAAGGGGAAAGAACTAAAAATACAAACATCGCAAGTATCGAATAAATGTAAATACGAAATCAAATGTGAATGAAGGTACAGATCAAATTTTGCAGGAACTTCTTCTGTCCGTAACAGTCATAATCATCAAAATGAGAGAATTAGGAACGAGGCACATTGAAATTGTAAGGTTGACTTATGACGAAAAGGGTAGAGGAAAAGACCCATCTTGGGATTCGATGCAATAGGCAGCATGGAAATCATCACTTTTATAGAGAAAAAAGCCCATGCTTCTTTGTGCCATTGATTTGCAGACAATTAAATTTTTATCGTTGAAAGTGTTCAAACATTAGAGGGCAGGGCGGATAAGAAAGGTGGCCGCATTTCGAGTTGAGCCGCCATTTTAAAGGCTGTGACGCGCAGAGGGTACATGCTTTGTCATGCTATCAGGATGTACCCGAAACGTACCCGATGCTGTGTGATGTCCAGAAGGTGCAAAATGCGACTACTATTCTTTATTCGCCTTGATTAGAGGGTAAAGCAAATGCCTTATAATGGCACTTAGAAACAATACAAAACAGTTTTTTTTTTAAAGAATTGACCTACCTCAAAAGAGAGCAGTTGGTTGAGATAGAATGGTACTGAATTTTAATTAAGAGGTACAGCTGGCAAAAATGATAACAATAAAGAAACGGAAAATTTTGAAAACAACCTATAAACTAATATCACCGTAGTCTTGATTCCATTTTTCATATGCTGTCAAAGTGCTTGGAGACACACTCCGGCGGACTCTTTTCAGTGATTCGACAAAGTCTTGGAAAGTTATCTTGCGAACTTTACAAGGGTCCATGTTTTTCACTTGATCGAACTGCAGCTCTGTTGACAAAAATCAAGGAATAATATGTAAGTTGCACATGTTTATTGAAAGACCTCGACTGTCTGAGAAGAAAGAAAAGCGACCATGGTGACAAAAAACATTGTGATATTTGTAACACTAAAGGAGTATTTCAACAGCATTTTTATACAGGAAACGAAATGACAGGTTGAGCTAAACCTTATTTAAAACAATCGGAAATTTTCAGTTCGAAAATTGAGTTTTGAAAAAGGGGATGCGTGAATAAAGTGTGCAAGACTATCAACGCAAAAAGGGACCACGTCCAAGTTAAATTTTCTTAAAGAACCATTTTTCTAAAGATTTTCCTAAGTGCTGCAAACTAAACTTCGCATGAAAAAGTAAACTTTGCATATTTTTCTATTTATGTAGCTCCATTACTAAAATAATGTTTTCTTAAATTCTGAGATGTTTAAAAGATAGCCAAATGGTCAGGAAGACACTTTTTCGAGCTTAATATTGAGCTATTCTCCCTTCAAAACTACCAGTTTCAAAAAATATTTGGGAATAAAAATTGGAATGTCAGCATCTAAGTTGGAGTCAATTCTAGTCTATCTGTGAGCAGTTGGCCTCACAGATGCTTGCAGAGCACCTCTGCGAAGACTTTCAAAGAAATAATACATGAGCGCTGACTCTAGAACGTAAGGCGCTTATTAGTTGTATGCCAGTCAGATTTGAACCAGCACAATCAACATTGTCCAATTCCTGGATCACTTTCCCAGGTTGACATCAATAAAGAGACTGTGATGACTTGGGAGATAGAGGGGAGGCAGTTCATTTGAGGGGGATCAAAAACTTCTGAACTGACATGTATATTACTGATAATCTCTGTAAGTGAGGTCAATAATATGGAGCCCTTGGACAGGAACGTCAAATTATTCATCATCATCATCACAAATTCATCATTCGTAATTACTGAGTAAGACTGGTCAGCCCAGTAAATGGATCCCAACAAATTATGGTCTTACAAAAAGACCTACTTCACCAGCATGCGTGGAATAGTTGAGGTTGATTGCTTCGATTACTGAGAGAGTGGTTATTAGATACTAAAATTAGGAAAGAAAACATAAGTTCTTATGGATGTATATTTTCTCAAGATTTCTTGTGGTTTAAAATGAAAATATGTTTTTAATTGTACGAAATAGCAATAAAAAAGCTAAAAATCCACAGATAGACACTCATGCGCTCTCTGGTGACCCAAACAGGAAACTGGAACTACCATGCTGTTTAATACAGAGTTGCCAAGTCACTTCCGCAAAAATTACTAATGTTAGGGAAGAAGATGTGCAACCCTTAAGTTCAATATTTGTACATTTTTAAGCTTAATTTTAAATTTTTTGCTCTATTAGGTTAATCTTACTTACCACCTACTTCAACTTTCTTACCATGACAAAAAAAAAGGATTAGAGAGAGCTTATTTAAGAACATACACAGAAGGGTGAAAAATGCTTTAGTTTTCGTTTTTTTCTCTTTTTTTTTTCCTGTTTGTCTTCATGTGATTGATCATTCCAAAAAATGATGAAAATGATTGGAAAATGATTAAAAAATGATAGTGAAAAAACTGTTTTGAATTTTTGAAAATTGACTATTTGAATTTTGGTAATTTAGCATTGCCATCACAACAGACTTGATTTCATTGCTGATAGAACGTTGTTTGACAAAAATAAGGAACCGCAGCCTTTGACCCCCACTTCACTACGTTCAGATCCAATTTGATAAAATCGTGAATAATAAGGAAAATTGTATCAAATCGATTCAGTCAATTCTTATCCTCAGAACAATTTGGTAATCTCAACCCTTGGTATTCGATACCTGCAGTGAGACAATAATGAATAATATCTATATACTGCTCGATTTCTCTGAAGCATTTAAGAGAGGATTCAATTTTGCGATGGAAAGTTTACCTCTGATGGGAGCGAGAGCTGCATCCTTGGCTAGACCAGTCAAATCACTACCCGAATAACCTTCGGTCATTTTTGCAACTTGCGTTAGTTCCCTTTCAGATAAAGGACTGTCATGCCGACTGAGCAGTCTTTGCAGCAAAGCTTTCCTCGTTTCAGCGTTTGGTAAGCTTATGTATATCCTCTTCGTGAATCTCCTGTAAACAGACAATGCGAGTTGAATACGAGAGAGGAAAAGCATTGAGAGTTTCAAAGTATTTTTTGAGGGAAATACACAATTGCCAAAACATGTTCATATCTCATGCATGAACACGTTCTTCAACAATGCTCTTGTCGTTGACTTTCGCTTGAAACAATGACCAAAAAGAACAGCAGAACTTCTGGAATCACAATTGAGCACCCGCTTAGAGCAGAGATCAGCAAACTTTGTCTCATTACCATCATAACAGCAGGCACCGTGCAGTATTTGAACAATTTTGAACTATAAAATTAGATATTTTCAAGCAATGTTCTGCCTTAAGTGGCTGGGCCATCGTGGCGCCTCAAAAAGTTGACACAACTCGTCAATTTTGTTGAACTTAATACACTAAATTAGACAGCACTACAGCAAGAGACACTGTCGTTTGAAGCATTTAAATTCTACTGGTTTTTTCGGGGAGTTATGTTTTTGGTTTTTTGGTTTTTTCCAGCCTAACAGGAACATATTCACAAAAATACATCGGCAGTGAACATGCTGACTGAATAAAAATAATTTAAGATCTCAGAGGAAGTATGGAAAACTGGTTCGCGTGGTAGAGAATTCATAAATATGAATGTTTAATCATGTGATATGTTACCTCAGGACAGCTTCATCTAGTTCTTGTGGGCGATTGGTTGCTGCCATGACAAGAAGGCGATGCTCAGAATTTGAGTGCAGACCATCAAACTCGATTAAAAATTCTGTTTTCAGTCTTCTACTGGCCTCGTGTTCACCTTCTCTCCTCTCGCTAAGAAATGAGTCCACTTCATCAACGAATATTATAGATGGCTGCAGCAAAAAATGAAAATTCATGAAATTTATGTCGTAATTACTTGAGAGTTATTTTTGGAAAGCTACAATGTCATGTGAGTTACCACCTTAAAAAGAGAGGATTAAAAAGCCATTCTTTCGACAAAACAGTGCACAATAAAAATTAGAAATTAATTTTGTTACGCAGACTAAGTGGATAACACTATTCTGCCGCATGAAAAATGAGGAGATCAAATTTGCGACTGTTGGGCACATCATAGATGCAAACTGTTTCAAAATGTTGACCCTGTCTCATGCTCTAGCAGTTTTTTACGTATTTACTTATTATTATTTTTTTTACATACTTCCTTCACTTTTTCAGCATGATAACATAGCATATTGTGAGATGGGGCATTTTTAATGGGACCGTAAAACGATAATTCATCCACAAGCTATTGTATGAAAGTTCCACAAAACATCTTAGAAACAAGTTTACCGGTTCTAATTCACATTTTCACAAGATACCTGACACCAGTTCAAAAATGAGTAGAACCATGATTTGGAAACATGTCAGAGGTGCCAGCACTCAATAGTACACTTAACTCTTGGTTATGTTTGCTAGAAAACATGTCCGTCGCCCAAGTATTAACAGCTAGAGAAGAAATACTTGGCAGAAATGTATGTACTTACTTGCAATTCTCGAGCCACAGCAAACAAGGAACGGACTAACTTCTCACCCTCACCAACATACTTTGAAGTAAGACTAGCTGCACTTATACTAAAGAAAGTAGCATTGCACGATGTAGCCACTGCTCGGGCTAGTAATGTTTTACCGTTCCCAGGTGGTCCGAAGAGAAGTAGTCCTCTTGCAGGAGAGCGTAAACCAGTGAAGAGCTCTGGTCGGAGAGCAGGGAGAATTGCCATTTCATGTAATGCCTGTTTGGCAACCTGGAATAAAAATTAGAAAAAATTGCTAGAACTCACTGGCAATTAAGTTTTGTTGTCAAAGTGGCTACGGACTTAAAACGTTTCAAGTTTTCTGAACTGTTGACTCTTGAGAACAGTTGAAATGGGTAGCTTCAACTGGAGTCAGCTTACTTCCTAGTTGCCTAGTTACGTTGCCTAGTTTCCTTTCGTGTTTTTACTTTTTTGAATGAAAACTTCGCAAAATTCTGCCTTGAAATTTTATGAAACATTTCCTCATAGGTACTCTCAAATAAATTCCCACTAGGTTTTAAGGCATCAGGTTGCATATTATTTGGAGAAATAAAATTAAACTCGAGAGGAAATTAAACAATGTGAAATACTCTTTGGCTGATTCTGGATGTAGTCTTCCAAATATTATTTACACAAAGCAGTTGGAATTTAAAGATAGTTCACAGGTACATGGGGTGTCCCAAAAGTATTGCTCATTTTGATAAGGGGCGAGGTCAGCTCCGTACCTTCGATGCAAAATTCCAAAACTCGGTAAATTTTGGCTTGCAGGGCTCTATTCGGTGTTGATTCCTAGGTAATTTACAGGGATTTAAATTTATAAAAACCATATTTTCATACCTGCTTCCGTTCGCTTCCTAATAGGAAGTTATCAGTACTTTTAGAACCCCCCTAATGCTTTAGCAAAATGTTTGTTCAAATTGAAAAGAAGTGTTCTGGCATTGGGAAATCTGCATGGTCTATTTAGGAGTTCATTTTTATAAAAAAATGCCGACGGGACTTGTAAACGATTTTTCAAAAGAATTATCTTTAGCTACTTTCAATATGAAATTGAAATTGTGGGCATCCTAGATTACCTTGGCCGCTTTAGGTTAGATTAGATTAGATAAGACTAGAGCTAGTATTAACATACTCCTATAAAGCCATAGGCTTAAACCGATAATGGCATTTTGAATGACACTGATTCAGTGATAAAGCAGTACCTCTTGCCCTGCAATATCCTCCCAGTGAACAGGAGGTCCACCTTCTAAGACTTCATCTAAAATAATTTGGGCATGCTTCGTGTCGATTCCTTTCAGGCAGTTACTTGGTTTTTGAGGCGTGACAGGTTTGGACCGTGTCGCCATCGAATGTGATGGAGAGCAGTTTAAACTAGTTGGACCCTGTATAAACAAAAGAAGAGAGAAAAACAGACACTTAATACATTAATACACAAGCAAAGACTCTTTCTTTCATTTTTCAGATTGAGTCACATCTATTGAGGTGGAAAAATCATAACCATTTAGACCATCATCTTAAGAAACAAAAACACAGTGAGTAAATATTTTGATAATTGAAAGTTGTAAAACTAAAATTATTTGAGTTATTGATAAACTTCTTAATCTTTTTTTTCTCTCTATATTCTTGGGACGTAGAAGGGACATAGCATGTAGTGAATACTTCCCATGAAAATGATAACTGAAAGGAAAAGAGTTGAAAAAGACTTAACTGGAGAGTAGTTTAATGACTTGAGAAGTGACAGTAGGGATTTGTGGAGATGTGGAGGGGAAAACTGGTTCTCAGGAGTCCAGTCAGTGAAATCTAGAAAACTGGTTTCTGCATACTGATAGAACTGGATTATTTTATACGTATGAAATGGGGGAAAATAAGAGAGACATTGTCTTCCTCTATCAATGAAATAGAATGATCGATTACTTCTTCAAAGAAAGCACAGGCTTCTTTGCAATATGCCTAAATTTCATCATGTAGGCACTAAAAAGTTACCAGAGTTTTGTAATTTTCCAATTCCCTGGCTTTTCGCTTTAAACTGACAATAGAGATTCCAAATTGCCTGACTATCCTTGACCTTTAAATACTTCTACTTAGATTATTTTCTTTTCATTAGGCTGGTGAGTCGATGCTATACGCGAAAAATTCCGACTTTTCCAGGTGTCCAAAGGTAAAAATTTCTAAAAATCAAAGGAAAATTTTCCAGTCATGAAGGGATCCAGACCCTCTGATTTGAAGGATTTTTAAGCAATAAATTTGATTTCTGTGTTTCCACAGGAATGGATGAATTAGAAATAATATTAACTATCAAAAATTAAACTGCAGCTCTCATTTCAAACTTACCGAGAGCTGTTTCTTGAGCGCAGGCGGAGTATTAGATCTGTTCCCAGGTTGCATAGATGCAGCGGCGTTTCGCGAACCCATGGATCGAGGCAAAGTTTTGCTTTTCGGCAATGCTGGTCGACCATTGTTTCTGATTCCCATCACTTGCAATCTTTGGTGCGTTTCTGAGGGAAAAAATGATATTATCAAAATGTGTAGCTCAAAATATTGCGATGCAATCATGTCCCTCTGACTCTAAGCCCTTTTAAATTCACGTACAGAGCAGCTTTAGAAAGCTTATAGCAGGGGTGCAGAAAATGCCCGATTGCGCGCCCGGGCTGGCGAGTGAAAATTTCCAGAAGCCTCTAAAATGTGGAAGGAGGGAACATTTTGAGGGGCCACAAGTCGAAAATCAAAGGAAAACAAAGAAAAACATCATCTTTTTTAAGATTGGTGGGAAATTTGTGGAAAACTGATGAGAAAAAAATTTGGAAAACCAGCTGGCGAGCGCGTGAAAATGTGAAAGCTTTGAAGATTCTGCACCTCTGGCTTTAAGCAGCTTTTTCATTTCAGAATTCTAAATTTCAGATTAATTAATTAAGAGCAAGTAAAAAATTTGAAATTAAAAGAGAGATCATAGCTGTAAGCAACTCATGAGCTCTGTCCACAACGCTCTTTTTCCATGCCCACGGCTCATGAGTGCCACATAGTTCCGTTTGACAAAATTTAAAATCCAGCTTTTCTATTTCTTCAAAAGGAATCACGCCCGCTTTAACATTTTTTCTTGCGCAGCTTTCTAGAGCACGTCCCATTTTTCCTACTCGTCTAGAGTTCTTTTGGCAGAAATATGTTGAATTATCCGTTGGCTGAATTTGTTTGGACTGAAAAGACTGTCCTTAAAATGAAGAGCTTTCAAAAGAAGTTTGAATGATCCTCACCAAGATAATTCAGTCTATCCTTGGCCATTGCTAAATTAGTCTTCATCTTGTCACTGAGTTTCCTCGCTTTGTCCCACACTTCTCCACGACCAGCGCTACAATCCACTGCAATTCCTTTTTCCAGTTCTGCGATGCCTCGCTTATAGAATTTAGCAGCATCCTCGGGGTTACCTGAGAAAAGATAAAAAAAAATTAAAAACTTCCTTCGGCATTTAATAAGCTGGGCTCACTGACTGTGATCTGCTGGGGTAAAAAAAAGACCCAAACTGGTGTGGCTCTTTCGGCATAACCCTTGCTTCATAAGCTTTGTATTTTAATAATTCTGCCTGAGAAGCTGAGACCTCTATCCTTCAACCGAGCTGAAACCTCTATCCCTCAGTTGAGCTGAAACTTCTGACCCACAGTCTTGCACTGAAATTAATTAGAGTTCGTTTCGTGACTTTAATTCTGATTTTTTTATAGTCTGGCCATGATTTTCCAGCAGAAAAGTGCAGGATGCAGAAAGTTTTTTACCTTCAACTTTTCGAGGCTGCCTTCAAATTTTTGTCCACATAAGACTTCCTTCCCCACACATATTTTGAGGTGGCCTTCACATTGCTGTCCACATAAGACTGCATGCTTTACTGTTTTCTTTGCATAAAACAAACAGTTGAGTGTAAACTTAGTATATACAGTACTGAGAGCAATGTGCTCAGCAGTTTCCCCCTGAAAGATTTGTGTTTCATAGTTAAAGTGCCAAGCTCTGCTTTCTCATTTTAATTCTCTTTTTCGGCAGCCTTCACATTTTCATTACCAGATAATTTGCATAGGGATTGCACCTCTGTAATCGGGTGGGCTTAGCACTATTCTCCCATCCTGTTACTTACGTTGTTTTGCCCACATGTATCAGGTTGTATTTTTCTTGCAAATTATTATTTAATGCACTCTTGCGAAAGAATATTTATTGCTACACTTGAGATTTGAGGTTGCAATTTTAGTTTTACTTATATTTTCTGAAGACAAATGACTTGCCATCAGATTCAAAGATTAGCATCATATCATCTTGAGTGCTAAAATTAATAAATCTTCAAGGCAGGTAACAGATTCCATGATTAGACTCTGTGCAAACGTAAGACAACTTACAATATCCTTTTTTTCTCACTAATAGGGGTCTGAAAGGTGGACCATGAATGAAAAAACACACCTGCAAAAAAGCTCTGATCTCAAGCGCATTAATCAATCCAACACTTACCATTATCTTCATCAATCTTGAGAGCTTTGGTAATGCAGTCAAAAGCTTTCCGGTGATGCTCTTTCTGTTTAATTAGCAGCTCATTGACGTTGTTACTGACAGAGTGGCTTAGATTCGACCTCATTTTGTCCGGTGCAGCTGGCTGATCTTCAACAGGTTCACACGGTAGTTCAGTTATGACAACAGAACTTTCAATTCTACGATTCAAGAACTTCAGTTTACGAAGATTGTACAATTTAACAATGGAGCTCCAAAGGTATTTACAGAGCACAAGCAAAAAGTGCAAACAAGAATGTATTACAGAAAAACAAACGATTACAGGCAGAGATACAAAGCGTAAATTCTTTTCATGGATGGATACTACGGAGGTAACAGGCAGTAAGTTTTTCTTTTCAGCATGATTCCCTTTCTTATGACATTTTGCTGAATTTTTTCCAAACATTAGCACTGGACGGAACAAAGAGTGATGTCTCAAAACACCAAACTAAATGGGTGAATGCAAAAGACGGATTTAGGAAGGGAAAGCACTGAGTTAAGAAATCGTCAGTTGTTGCAGCACAAAGAAATCATTTTGATTACCACATTCAATAATTTAATGCAAGAAAGGGTGCACTGACATGCTTGCATATTGTTGAAGTCATGGTGCTTTAACTTCACACGGACAGAAAATCGACGTTTGATCATGAATTTAACTTTATCCACAGCTACAATTGGGCAAAATGGAACAGGACAAGAGTACAAAAAGACTAACTTTCCACTTCTACTTTTCACGGGGGAAAATCCGGGGAAAGTCACAATAAATAACCTAGAAAAGTTGATCGATATTTTTCATGGACAGGGACGAGTTCTATAGGACGCCGTTCTGTTGTGAGCGGGTGATTGCAGCGCATTCTCGCGTAGGATCCTAGTCAACTCAGAGGATCCTCCCCCCCGAACCTCGACTCATCCATCGCCCGCTCCAAAAGTGAGGTTAAGCCGGAGATTGAAAAATAACACATAAGGCGGCTGAATTCTTGAAAAATAAGTATATTTTTGGCGTTTTTCGACCCCTTTCGACAAGGTAGGGCCCGCTGCATGTAGTAATACGGTGAAAAATTCGATTTTTTGCAGTTATACGCGATCCTACGGATTTTAATGAAGTCCAACAACTGATAACAGCAGTGAGTTGCGAGGATCCTACGCGAGAATGCAGCACTAGTACCTGCTCACGAATTTTTACATTGACTCTTACGGGAGTCCAGGGTCCTATAGAACTGGTCCCTGTCATGGATTACAGACGGGAAAACACAAACACTGGACTACATAGTGCTGCTCTCTTGTGATCAAGATTTTCAGCGCCAATATTTAAAATCTGTTATGGGAATATGACTTTTAGTAGTTAACGCAAAGGCACTTCATTTATTTTTATTTGATTCGTTTATTTAAATGATGCATTGTCACCGACGGGAGAAGGGACCTGAAATCGAGAATCTCAATAAACTTATTGGTACTTCTGCATAGAGGATGCAAATATTTGTGTACAAAAAAGTCTGAGTCTGAAAATGTCAACCTAATGAGGGGCTTGGAGGACAAGGTGCATGGGTGCAATTTTGGCTACTTCGAGAAATACGTGCTTGAAGTTTCGAAATTACTTGGATCCTTACGACGGGAAAAAAATTTGAACTGCCTATTGATGCTTATAAAAATTGGAATTTGGAAGCGAATTTATCACAGAACTTGCATCAGGACTAGTGCATTTTTCAAAAAGGAACCGGCGTGATTAGTGTTTTCAAAATCGTGCAACTTCTTCTTTCCTGTTGAAACTAAGTACTTAATATATATGTACGGTATTAAAATTGAAACTATTACTTTTCCTTCAAAAATGACAATTATTTTGGTGGGAAGAAAAATTGTTCGCTATTCTGGGAGATTTTCTTATGAAACTATGAAGTAGCAACATTTAAATGACACTGTAATCACCTTGGTTCCTTTTTGCTTAATGCGATCTAGTTTTACTTAAAATCATTAATATCTCAATTATTTCAAAAACTTCATTTATGCGCCTTGTCCTTCAATCCCTTCATATAATCAAGGCATTACTACTTGTTCCGCAAGTTGACGGTTCGAAAACTAATTTCCAAAAAAAGCTTTTAAATAAAGATTTAATTAGGTACTCATGTTGTGGGCTAACAGTTGTCAAGTTATAGTGAAATTCTGTGCTTTCTTTTGTTGGTTTTACCAAAAATGGAATCTGCTTACTCCCGCCGAGATTACAAGGGGGATGCAGAGTTCCTCCAAATCTAGCGCGCACCAGGAAAGATTTCTAAACTCTGTTCTTATAAAATTGGAAAAAATAAATCAGACCATTATAGTGAAATTATAGTGCTCTATTTTTTCGTGCTCAAAATTCTGATTTGTCAATTTGAGAAAAATTGCTGAGTATTCGCTTGTTAGTGCTAGGGTCCCTTTTTAGGGGTACGGTTATTTTCATACACATACATAAGAATTCTGACTAGAATGTGAAAGTATCCACATGATCATGGATGAAGGAGTTGAAAGAAATTGAAATTTTTGACATTTTGAGTACCTTGAACTGAAATTCATTTAAACGCCTCAGTATTTTGTGTTTTCAGTTCTCTTGTATCTTGAATCATTACTTAAGTCGACTTCTAAGAAAATCACAACAATCTCAGCTTTGTCATCCGCACTACTCCTCACATAAACTTTCTGCCACTTATGTATAATAGGGTCTCGAAACTTGTTCAGAGGAATAACTAGCCTATGTGGATTGGTATTGGCAGAAAACTGCTTACGGCATATGAGCTCTGATGGATTTTTGACTTGTGCCGAAAATTCTGTGATGTAGATAAGTACCTACTCTTGGTACAATTTCGCAAGAAATGCGATGGCATCACTACTCAGTAGGCTGCCACTTAACAAGATGACTTCAGGGGTGGAAGTGCAAATGCTACCGGTATCATCTTAGCAAGAGGAGTTTGATGGAATATTAAGGACGACTCTTAAAGATTATTTTAACACTCTTAACCCATCAAGCACAAGAGAACTGATGCCATTTCTTTCTTTTTATTATTGACTTTCACTTTTATTCCTTTTCAGAGAAGTGTCACAAAAGGGAAAGATGAACTTCGCTATATTTATCCCCTTTGAAATTTAGTTAAAAAATTACTTAGAAGAGCAAGATATCACTGCCGCCAGTATTGAGGTTTCAATAGTTGAGTTGATCTCAGCATAAGCGTTTTATGCAACTGAGACGATGCTTTTCTTGAACTTGGAGGTGCAAATTTTCGAGAAAAACAGGGATTTCTATGCCATTCAACGGGCACTCAATCTTAAGAGCTAAAAGAATGTAAGTGTCTGAAAAATACCTTTTGAATCTAAGCTCAGAAGATTGACATGCAGGCTGGCACACTTTTTTCCATTTTTCTTGAAACTCAGATTTTGGCGCTGAGGACTGATAGAAAAGCATTGGTTCAAATTCCATACTTGTAAGCTACCAAGTATAACAATGAGTTTCAAGTTTCCAAGTCTTTTGAGAGAAATTTCATCAAAAAATTGAGGGAGTTGTGAAGTTAAAAAATTCAGTAGTCCAAAATTTAAAAATGCTCAACAGAAATGATTCTTTACTGAAAAAAGAAGAACCAGTAGTGCTGGCTATCCCCAGTTAATTTCATTAAAATCTTAAATTTACAGAGTATTTACAAAAATCGATCAGGTACAAGAATAAATCTTTTCTCTGTATGGAATTAATTCTCACAGAATTAAAAACCAAGAATTAAAAAAAACATAAAAGATAAAGCTTACATAAATTTCTACAAACAGAAAATTAATCAAAATGTCATTGACTGACACTTTTTGACATTCTTCTACGGAATTGTAATCCTACTAGATAAATTTAAAGTGGGAGGAGTACTACAGAAAATTGTGTAACTCTAATAAGGTCCTTAATAAAAAGAACTATGCTAATCATGGTTGGAATCGAAAAGTTGTAAAAATGTTAAAAAATGTTTTAAGAAATTCATTAAAAAAGTTATAAACATGAAAATTAGCGATTAAAAACAAATAGTATACCTATTAACGGCTCTGAGAGGCCTTAAACACTTTTACAAGAGCAAATAAAAACATGAAAACATTAAAGTTAGTGGGAAAAGATCGTAAAATTACAAGAATGAATTAAAATATTAAAAACTTAAATTTTCTTAGCAACAAAATCGAGCCATAATTGATGACTTGAATACGAAGAGGGAACTTCTCAGTCTTAGCTTTTCAGATTTTTCCCTTTAGTTTCACTCTTAACTAGAAAAAAAGTTGCTTACATGAACTGAATATTCTTCACAGTTTATCAGTACATATCTTCAGGATATATCTTGAGTTTCATGATTTAGTAGTTCACTTATGATAAAAAAAAAGGAGGGGGAAAAATAGGATTTTTGGTGGAGATTCTGAGATGTAACAGAAAAGTGCTCTCATTAGATGCAAGTTCAAATTTACCAAAATTAAGTTGAACTTTAAATTTACCGATTTACTGTATTGGTTTCAAAAACATTTAATTTTAGTCTTAAATAGCAAAACTTCTATTTCATGTGTTAAAGTTTGATTTGGAGGTTTTTCATTTGTATTGAACAGTTGTCAGTTTAGATTTAGTGTCATTGAATTTAGAAGAAAAGTGATTTTTCTAAGATTTCATCAACGGTCAGTCCAATGAGTCATACCTTTTGAAAACTACAACACAAGAAACTAACTCCGGAAGTCTTCGGACCTTGAAAATGCTTACTTATTAAATGAAAGAGCAAAACCCTACATACCAATTTGAAACCTTAGGGATTACAGCGTAAAGGTATGGATTCATATTTTGGAGCCTCAATGGCAATTAAATAAGAAAAAAATGCAGGATAATGAGCGCAGCTAAACAACATGGATGAAAGAAGAGAGGAAATGAGATTATTCATTTGGTCGATCACAGGAACATAACAAGAGAATAAGACAATGTCTTTGTAACAAAGTGGAAAACCTAGTATTGATGATGAATAGAAAACAGATGGACTCAAATTTCATGAGGGTAATTCAGATGTAGAAGTTTAAAGGCAACTTTTTGGCAGTTTATCTACCAACATCTGAGAATTCCCACCTTGTTACCAGTGACATTGCTACATCCCCTTAGAAAAAATCCTCAAATCAAATAATTAAAACTATTCAGCCTATCTATCATTCAATCACATATAAAAGAAAGAATAGTACGGATAGATGACATTTAGTTCTTGATTAATGGTCTATTTCCTGAAAAAGCTTTTAGTATGCTGAAACTTAGGATAGAAAATCAAGAGGCTCTTTATTCCCTATCAAAAAATACTCAAAAGAAAATGGGCAAAAGGAAAAATGGAAAAAACAGGGTTGCCGCAAAATGCAGAAAATGAAATGCCTGTCAGATTTTAGGTAATACTCCCAAACATTAGATGATGTGCATTATGATTAAAAGTCACCACTTTCAAACCTGAACACACAAAATTTGTTGTTCGAAACATCAAACACATTCAAGAGAGCAAATAAAGGCGATTAAACAAATTTTCCCTGACAGCTCGCAGTTTTTTACTGACTTAATAAAATTCCCTGAAATTTCGTAATTTCCCTGGAAGAGGTAATAATAATTCTGAAAAAAGCAAGATATTGAGCAAAAAACAAGAAACAATATTCAAAGAAGTCAGTTACTAAACTTGGAAAACACTTATGCCGATTACGGAACATCAAAATATTCTAACGGAAAAAAAAATAATTTAATTTCTGGGGACTTTCACAGAGTATCCTTTTTGCGATAGAAGAAGAATAATGTTGCTCAGATTCATACATTAAAAATAGTACGCTGGAAAAGTTGCCACATTGAAAATCGACATTAAGTTCCCTACATTCAGCCAACAGGGTGAAATGCATCCTAACGGCAATTTGCCGAAAATTTTTGATTTTTTGAAAAGAACTAGGAAAACACTTTTACCTCAATGCTGCCAGTATGCAACAAAAAAAAGATAGTGGAGGAAAAAGTCTACCTCCTCTACATTAGGGGGAAAAAAAAGTTGAGGACCATAAATGGTTTCCCTCCCTTGACTAATTGAAGCTGAGACTTTGAAATACCTTCACCTCTTTTCTATAAAATAGAAGACATAGAACTCTCTGAAAATCCCTAATGCCAGACTTCCTGGGTAGCAAACTAAATTAAAAGTATCAAAAGAAAAATTCAGCTTAATATAAATTAATGAAAACTATCACAGCACTAGGAAAAAACCTTTCACTTAGAAGAGCACTTGCCATAATCATTGAAAAAAGCAATAAACCACTGGACAGGGTAGAGCAGACCGTAAGAACAACAGCGTTTCTAACATCAGTCTTCGGCTAGAACACAATGGGCACATTGAACAATTCCAAAATCAACACATCGGTGAGAAGGTGGCATTTGGTGTGTTTATTGATTCAATTGACTTGCTCTAAACAAACCCAGAAACTATATAAGTCAAATTGGGTGCCAAACTAATGTCAATATGGACCACGATGAATAATTTTTCCTGCAAGCTAGATCACAGATTATTCTCACAAGCAGAAAAACTAAACAAGCGATACTAATTTTAACCACAGACACTGAGTTTGCCCATTGTAGCTGATCTTAGAAGTTTACAATATGGTCAATGTACTCTATGAGGCATTTGGAAAAGAAATCATATCTTTCAGTACTTCCGTTTATACCCTGTTCAGGGGTTCATTCCCACAATTTGATATCTTTGCAAGACTAAGGCACTGAGTTAGTCGCAACAGCCAAGGGCCAAGTAACTGGGCCTTTGGACACAATATCGCTGAGACTAGACCTGATGAGAATGAACCTTCTCTTGAACTCAATACCGCAGCCTTTGGACAAACGGAAGTCTAAGAGCGTCTGACCGTTCATGGATAAAACGTTTGCCTTGAATACCAGTTGCGTTTTCCTACGATCCACCGTGCTGACTGTCACCTGCAAACAATAAGGGTTACCGTCAGAGACGAAAACAACAAATGTGAAAAAAGTTCAAAATTCATTGATATTTGAAGCTCACTTCCAGAATTGAAATTCAAATTATAATGAATTGTATTCGAAAGTGGTTCGATATATCGTTTGGTTCAAAACGATAGAACAAAACCTCAAACCAAAATTTTAGGATATTTGTCAGAGAAGCTAAAAATGAGAAATTTTGTAGCAATTCCACTACTCTTGGCCAATTAGTACTCATACGAATCAATAATTAATCGTAAAAAACACATTCCGTCAGATTACTCAATTGACTTTTGAGACTATGTTTATGTTTTAAACCAATCGATATAGATACTATCTCACCCATTCAATGTTTCGAATACTATCTATAAGAAGTAGGTGAGCCAGAAAAACAGATTTTCTTTCTGATCAACTTAAAAGATAATGTAATTGTTCCTATTATATTTGCTGAATAAAAAAAAGAGTTTGTATTTTCTCAAAATATTAGATTTGAAATCATCGAAAAAAACAGAGATGGTTTAGATTAGCCTTCGGAACTTCTGATTCACTAAATCGATGGCTTAAGTGCGGAACAAGGTATCTCTATTTACAATGTTGCAGACTTCCTGACATACTTGATTTTTTCTGCGGAAGACTAGTTACCTTAATTTCTTCATTTTTCCTCTATGTAGCAGAATATTTTCTGAAAATTTCAAGCTATAAAGTAAGGTTGTTTTTCCCTGGGGAAAAAAAATGCGAGCAGACATTTTGAAACACCCCAATGAAGATACGTAGTTTCGTACTTTGGCTATCAAAAGACGTTTGTTACAGTTATCTTCGCGATTTCAGCAACCATCACGAAAAGGTAAATGATGTCTCAGAAAAAAATAAGGTGTTTTTTGATGACTGCTTTTTTTTACTCGACTAGATGTCTTACTGGACAGCTTGATAGCCGATCAAATGGAGAAAAAAGGACCACTTACCACTCCAACAGCGTGAGACCGCCAACCATATCCTAATTTGTCCAGTACGGCTGTTAAACGAACTATGGCTTCATCTGACGTTGCCTCCACAAAGAACCGTGTCATTCTTCGCATCAATTTCTGCACATTGTTCTGGTGAAAACAAAAAATCAAATTAGCGGAAGAACAATCAATAATCATGAGTTTAGAGGGGTGGGAATGATAGGCAGGCTTTTGTTTTAATAAAAGAAGAAGAAGAAGAAGAGGATATATGAATGGGTGACCTGTGTCAGCGAGAAAACAATAATAACTTGATAACTCGAAAAATAGAAGGGTGCACATGATTCATCAATCACAGAGAAACTTCATTAGAGTTCATTTACTGAAGTTCCCTAATCCTGTTACACCCATTTTAACAACAAAGTTCTCTTTGAGAACTTGCAAGTCGATACTAAAATAAGTCTGTTGCTTGTAAGAGATACAGTCATGTAAATAGACTTAAAAGAGGTAAAATGGCACAAAAATCACAAGGGTCACATTAAAAAGTCTGAAATCTACTCCTAAGTGTGCGATTACATGGAAAAAATTAAATTGCTGATTTAACAATTTTGTGGTAAAAAAAATGGCTGCAATGTTTTAATGTAGATTTTACGACAAAAAAATGCTACTTTAACCACCCCTGTGATTGAATTAGCTTTTCACTATTGGAAAATGTGCATTTGAAACATTGCAGTCACTTTTTTAACAATTGAGTTGTTCAATCAGCAATCCATTTTTTTCCATGTAGAGTAAGTTTGATGTATATCTCGTCATTGGAAACGAGCAAACGGCCATTTCAGGCTCTCTCCATAGTTGCCAGTTATTGCCAATTTGTTGCGGATGTTTACTTGTTCTATTTACAAGTAAAAAGTGAACTTTAATAGTAGGCTATGCTAGCGCACAGCATATTTCTATTTCATCGATCTGCAGGTAATGTTGATAAACGTTATACTCAGAATTGTCAGTTTTTGTTGAACGCAAATTGCCATGAGTTGCCATTGCTTGGTTCCAGATACAGTAATAGGAAACTGCCTCCAGATGCAGAAAATCTGAGAAAGCATAATTCAAACCATGCAATTAGAGCACTCAGGAGTGGATTTCAGACTTTTTAATGTGACCATTGTGATTTTTGTGACATCTAATCTCTTGAAAGTCTATTAACACGGCTGTATCTCTTGCGTGCAACTGACCAATCTTCAAAATTATTACTCCGAAGCAAATTTTAAAACATGAAGGACCCTTCTTCACTAGAGTAGAAAGGTTGCTGGTGAGATTCTTCTCAAAGCCCAGGATCTTTGGGCCCCTGCAAATAAGCACACCTCACTTCAAACTCCTTTACCTGAGGCGATTGGGTGGACTGGGTAAGTTGTGACGAAACGAGAAGATCCTCGAAGGAAGTAGGTTGCGAGAAAGAGAAAAGTTGCGCATAGCAATCACTAGGGAGATCAGCATCTGAGATAGGATCAGGATTGTACAAGAACATCTCTGGTTGCGATTGACACAGGCGATCATCCTCTATACTATTGCATTGCGAGAACTGTCCTGAGCACAGCCTTTTTGATGGATAAGCCTCTTTCAGCGGTGAGCTTATTTGACCTGGAATGAAAGGAATGGATTAAATTTGATTAAAAAATTGGGACATCCATTGCTCATCACATAGTTTTCATTGGAAATCTTCTAAGTTTTATGCTAACTCATCACACTAGATGAATTCATATACAGTAAAAAAACAAAAAAAATTTGGGAATGCGTGTCTCATGCAGACAAGTAAAATATTTTAAATTATATTAAAGCATTTACGATAATTTATAGTCCTTCCCTCTTAGAATTTTAATATCAGTTTAAAAATTTATTCAAGTCAGCTTGTTTGAGATCTATCTACAGAGGAAACAGTTCTTCTTTCCTTAATATGAGTGGCAACTTAAAAAACTAGACAGAATTGAAATGTCATTATTATTCAAGATTCATGAAGCAATCTTCCAATTTCTTAAGCTTCCAGAAAATTGAAAGGATTTCTTGAATTTTTCCTCATTTCTCCTTTTTCAAGCTTCTGATAACCCTGTAAGTTCAACTGACGAACAAAACATTCCTTCTCTTTTCCAGATATCTCATTGCCATTTTGAACATTTGGGCTAATGAAAGCCGCATCTTAAACTGTCAGTGTCAGGAAGACAAAACAACTGAGGTCAGCCACAAACGAACACAATTGAAATTAAATGGAAGAACCTAAAATTTTTGGAGGTTGATAGCACTGAACTTTCGAGAAATAGGTTATTTGATGATCAAGAATTGGTAAACCTAGAAGAAGAAAAGGAGAAGTTTTAAACCAACTACATACTGACAATTACCCAACAGTTTGAGCTTCTTGGTGAACTTAGACGAGATCGAAACTGTTCCACGCTTTGGTAATCCAGCTTTATGGAACTAACCGCCACACATACACAGCTGGGTCACCAAACCATGCTTAACAGATAATAAGAAACCCATATCTAATTGGTTCAGACCACTGCATAGGAATATTTGCATTTCAGAACTTGCATAATTAAAATTGACGTTTTCAGAAGTCCTTTAACAAATGAGGTAAGTTTCAATCATCGTGGAGTTTTTAGAAGTAATATAAATCACAAAAAATACTCTTCATGAGTACTCATTTAGAAGTAATAGATATCACAAAAAATACTCTTCATGAGAACTCACTGCCTTCAGGCACAGTTAATTATATAAATTATGTAGACTAAATTAAAACAAGCTGCACAAAATTTTCAGGAGATGCTTTCTACAAAATAAACACCTAAGATGATGATATTAAAATTAGAACCGTGAAAGAAAAAACATTTGATGATTTTAGAGGAGGAAAATGTTGGAAAGTCCGAAATTCATATCAAGTTCTTTTAACAAGGGGAGAAATATAGTAATAAAGAACAGTGATTAAATAATATGTATACCATGTCACAATAAAAAAAAATTATTCCGGGCCCCTAAAAAATATTCAAAACTTTCATTGGACAGAATGTTTCAGAAAAATATACTTTTAAAAAAGTTGGTCATGAAATACTTAATAGATTAAGTTAAAAATAATACATGACTGTCTACAGGTTAAGATACCTCTTTACACAGAGGTTAATTCTTCAAGAAAGTTATTTTTGTCAAATTATGTAAAAAAAAATGAGAATTTCAGCTTGACAGAAAACTCTATTGTAACCCAATGAATAAATTCCTATCAGTTTGATTAATTTTAATACAAACAACCAGCTTGGAGTTGCGTAATTATCTGAAAACATGAGAGGTGCAAAACAGTTTTTTGCGACCGATGTCTTGATTTTGAGTTTACTATCGCTGACATCCTTTTTCCAGATGAATCACGTATTTTTTGAGGAAGTAGAGGAGAAAAAAATCTATCAATCATCTCTTTCATCTTGGATAGAAATAAATGAAAAGAATTGTTTGCGGTAATAAACAGATGGACTAAACGGTAATAAACAGAACTTGGTGAGACAGCATGGCTTATGCAAGCTTACTGAACAATGATTCAAGTGCATTCAAGTGGTGAGAGTTGCTGATTTCCACACATTATTGTAGAGCACAGTTTAAACGCGCAGTAATAAGATTTTCCACTTAAAAAAGAATCGAATACGTCTAGGTGCGCTTTTGCAGAGAATTCAACACTTTAAGCGATTCCTTTGACAAATTTAATTCTGATGCCATGGTCATAAGTTCGAAATTGTCAGGGCAGAATGCAAAAATTCTAATCATTTAAGCAGATTTGGCTTTGCTCTGCATCCAAGTGGATTGTGAGAAACTTTGCTATCTCAGAAGCAAGTTTATTGATTTGTTCTCACACTTCCTGTTGGGAAATTTCTTTTAAATACACAGATTCCTTGGGATTGGAGACTTGTAGAACGGAGAACAGTCTAAAAAATTCGAGTGTTTCCAAGCATCTGCATGAGCCACAGTCTGGGAGAGGAGTATAAAACGATCACTATGATGGGAGAAAAAACTTAAAATGTGAACACTAAAATAGAAAACGATGTAAAAGATTTGCTAAAAAATAAATTACACATTTCTTCGCTCTGACCCCTAATAAAGAAAGCACTGGGACCAGAGACACAGCAAACACACAGCAGAACTTAAAAAAGAAATGGCTTTAGCGAACAACTGATAAGCTGAAGTCGATCAGCTTTGCAGGTAACTCTCATTCTGAAGAGGCAAAGCTGTACCACAGAAACTATATAGCTTTTATCCTGACGGATTTGTAATTAAAAATTTATCTCTGCTAGCCATGCATGAAAATTTCATCACTTGGTGCACGGGCAAACATGTTGCCAGACTGGAAAATTAACTTAAAGAATCAAATTCATCCTATAGTTGAGAAACAGAGAGGAAGAGCTCTTTATGTTAAGTCAGGGTGACATATTTTTTCTTCGTGGGACAGAATGCCGATTAAAGATCTTGGCTCAGAGGGGTATTTTATGACTACTAAAAGTGGAAGAATGATTGAGAACCATCCAAATATTGTTAAATTTCCTTGAATAAAATATTTATTTAGGAGAAGCTTTATGAATATTATTTCTTGAAATTTTCAAAAGAACCACAAAAAATTACTGACACAATTTCCTTGTAGGGGTTGCTAAAAAGAGAGAGAGAGAGAGAGAGAGAGAGTGTGGAAAAAAAGCAAAAATACATAGCTTTACCAGAATATTTGCTTTTTATCGAAAGATATTTGGCAACATCTAAGAGTTCATGTACACATATGGCCTCTTCCTTGGGTAGAGCAGAGTGGTCCTTATTTCCGAAGGATTACACAGAGATTAAAAATCTGGCAATTTGACAACATGGGCTGCAGGTGTTTGTCACATAAAAGCAGTTTTATAGGTGTGCCAGTAAATTTGCCATTAGCATAAAACCATTCTTACTACGAATCAGCCGAGCACGAGTACGAAAGTGATAACATCGATCCTGCAATTGGCTGATCCGAGACTGTTTCTGCTTTTCTTAACGGAAGGGTCACACAGAGTACATGACATGCTTCAAAACTTATTGAAGGGGGAAAAGGGTTGCTGTTAGAAATGAGGATACCCTGCTTCTTTAAAATATGATTGAGCTACCTAACCTGACCTAACTTCAGGACAAAAAACGCCCAAAAATGTCTCACCAAATCAAAATTACAATGGTTTGTACGTAGTTCACATCTCAAAGAACATTACTTTGATGGAAAAAAAGAAAAACCATGTAAAATTATGTACTTTCATGTTAGAGCTTAAAATTATCGAAGAAAAATACAAATTTTAACCCCCAATTCGCAAAAATATCAACTTTATGCAACTTACTAATGGAAATATTGAAGAGAAGTTTCCCAAAAAAAACCGTTAAATCCTATCTGGCATGCCAACTTATCTATTCAGAAATTGTTGCTTTTTCCAGAACCTTCTGACCTGGAGACACCCATCTATAACTGAGGTTTACCAGGTGACAACAAGGGGCTCCTAAAACTTAGACGTAAAGTTAGAACACTACCCTTGACTTCATCTTTCTTCCTTTTTTCCTCTCCCTCCTGTGTGTTTATGAGTTTGTTTTTCCACTCGTGTAAAGTCATAACTTTCATCAAGCCAAGCAATATTCAGGAGAAAATAAAATGGAAGTAGTCACAACTTTGATTAAATTAGGCAATACACGGGAGAAAATAAAAGATGAGGCTTTGCCAAACATAATCTGTCTCCAAAAATAGTTTCAAGCAAAATTGCAAGAGCAGATCTGAGTTGAAGATGAAATTCCGGGATGGCTCGAGACACAGCAACGCGTGTTGTCAGGATATTTTGCATGCTGCCGAAGACTAAAACGAAGGTACTATGCCAGGTACTAATTGACTACTGAGCATCGAACTCCCTCAGAGTCACTCAGTACCTGACATTACTCCTCGTTATTTCAGTGACTGAGTAGATGATATGCCGCATCACACCATTTTAAGCGAATCTTCTTCTGATGTTCTGTAGGTGAGATTCTCGTTTCACACAGGAGGCCCAGAAATCAGCTGCTGGAGGTATGTAGTTTCAACAGGTTGAGACGTGCCCTGAATTCTCTTTCGCAGATGGAGACTGACTCACAATGCAGATATTTTGTTAATTAACTCATCGCCATGTTTCAATCATGCAGCAAAAAAATGCAAAGCCAAATTGCCTGGCTCACTCAGATGCTAACTTTGTTTCAACTCATTCTTGATGACAGTAGAAATGCGCTATTAAAAAGAATCTTTGACCACCAACTCTCTAAATTGAAGCACTTATTCGAATGGCTGCCAACTCGGAAAAAACATTTATCTAGATACAAGAAAAACTACACAAGAGGCAGAGAAGGATTTCTCCTCTATTAAAAACTCGATTTCGAAAAAATTCGACTTGGCACTGTTTCGAAATAAACGCTTTGATTGTGCTTTAACCTTACAGAGCAATCAGCGCAAAATGCTTCTAATATTGAAGGCTACTGGTCAAGTCGAGCACCTGAAAACTACTGTGGTATTAGGTAACTTGATGGCTCCTAAAAATTTGGAATAATCTGAGGGCACTGCCCTAATTTTACAGGTGGATTTTGGTTTAAATAAATGGCATGACAATGAGTTAATGGCATTACAGAGAAATAAATATTATAAAATAGTATCTATAGGGTGATAATACAAGAAAACCAAAAACTTCAGTTCTAACACATAGAACCGGACTTATTCTTTAAATAGCTAATTGTACTCTGAGCAGGGGTGCAGAAATTCTTCAACCACTCAGCAGTTAAATGAAGAACATGGAAAAGCCTTGGCAAAAGGCTGCTTGTGACAGGAAGGCCAACTCACGGCAGCATTAAAATTGCAAGTTTGCAGAATTGTAGCAATTTATGAATAAAGAGAGGGAGAAAAAAATATAAAGATAGTCGTCACTCCGAAAATTAAGGGAGAAAAGGAGATTTTCTAATGAGCAGACCAAATTAAAAGATAGGAGGGCCAGGAACTTTCTGCATCCTAGTTCTGAGAACAGATATTGGAGTAAAAGATATCTAATGCAAGTCTGAAATTATAGGTATGGGTTTCTTTTGATAGATTTAAAATTAATTGAACATTATTCCCTTTCCAACACACTAGAATTCAAATCTCGGCGGCAAAAACGTCAAATTTGCTGAATGGCAATCTGAATGCTAAGTATCTTTCTTCTCAGCAGCCAGAGGTATTCTTCTTTTCAGAGGTATTTGAAGTCAAAAATTTAAGACTTTCTCAACACCAAAAGAAATATTCGTTCACTTTTGCATCCGATTCTGTGGTGGTTTGAGGAGGGTTATTTGAGAAAAAGATCGTGATAAGAGATGTGGTCTGTAATCCACTGTTCTTTGCTTAGATAAATAATTTTCTTCGACGTGAAACTGATCAGTTTTATTTAATATCCAAGGGACTTTTTTATGACACACCCTCCACCATTTGAGTGAAATTAAGAGTGAGAACTCACCGCTTGTCTTGATAAACCGCTTACAGTACCACCTATGTGTTTTGATTTTTTCCACTGTGTGTCGCTGCGCTGGTAGAGGAACCAAGATTTTCCTTATTAATGAAAGAGCTAGAGTATCTACTTTTGTCCATGGTGTGAGTTGAGTGTACTGGTTGTCCTTCCACGCAAGGTACTCTTTGCACTCGACAGTCGGCTTATCCCATGGCAACTCTGAAAGATTAAAAAGGTTGTGAATGGAACCTTATCAGTTTCATAAATCAGCGATAGAGTACTAGACAAGGTCAACATTTAAGCGTCACAAAACACATTCCCATATTAGAAGTTCATGCGAAGCACAATAAGAATGTTGAAATTACTTGATTTCAACTGGGCGATAAATTCATAATTATGGTTGACCTGAAAATTGACTAGTCTGGTCAAATTTCTAGGTCGTTGAAAATAAAAATGTATGTTCAAAGATTTTATTGTTAGGCAGAAATCAGAAAATCAGTTACATAAAAATTTACTTCCTCCTATGGTATTCAGCATTTGTGAACTTACTGAGAAAAAGACAGAAAATTGAGAGAACCATATACATGAAATGGTTAATTTCAATGGGTTTCCATAATGTCTTACCTAATTTCCTGGCTGTCCTTCACCTCGAAACAAAACTTTTGTTTAGGTTTATTATTTTTAGTTATTCTAACTCATCCAAATTTTGAATAAAATTTCTGCTTCTACAGATTTAAATTATGCAAAAAGACATTCAGAGGTTGTGTGCATTCTTTCTAGTGGCACTAGCGGAAGTTACTAAGCCAACACTCCATTTGCAAAAGTTTCTAACTTTCAAGGTTTTATAGACTGCCGGAAACCCTCCTTGTAAAGCAAGACTGTTAAAAGTTAGGAACATACTTAATTTCATTCAAGAAGCCTTCAATTTTCTTTTTTTTTCTAACAGAGAGTTTGAACTTACAAAATAGCAGGAGCACCAATTTTACTTCATGAATTAATTTTGGTAACATTTTTGAACCCATTGCGCTTTTAGTAGCATTTAAATGAGAAAACAAGTATTTTGATGCTCACTTCACAAACCATTCTAAGGGCCTATTCTTATAGGTAAACATCAGATTTCTAATGGCTGCCTCGTTGACTTTGAACTACAATTTTTGTAACATAACAGGTAAAAGAAAGAATGTGAGCTCTAATGTTTCGATGGACAGTGCTATAAAAATAATCCATTCGAAATCCTCATTATTTTTCTCAGACCAGAGATCACTTCACATTTACAAACATAAATTAAAATAGCTTACTAAGAACAACAAAAAAGCTAAAAATAAGCCAAAATTTGTAGCTGACGAGGTAAACAGGACAGACACTTTTTTCAAATTTTTTTGTGTGGATTTTCCTTGCAGTAGAGTAAAACTATAATTATTCTTGCATTCCTTTGAACAATATTGGAGGAATTAGTTCGTTATGCTAAAAACTAACTTGAGAGGTGGAAAATTAATCTACATTTAAAAGAAAACATGAGTGTAATCAATCTGTTATTAAGAATTCATTTCAAATGGATAATGAAGAAAAAACTGAGCACTAAACAGAAAACACAATGCATCTCAGAGTTACTATGACCGCCATGAAAACTATTCTTGTAAAAAGAAACCAACCCACTATTTAAAGGAATAATTAACATTTACTTAGGAGTAATTTGAAAATAAACCAGTGTTAGAAACAGGGTTTGTGCGCTTACAAACCGCTGAGTTCTGCTGGAAAAGTAATTGTTCTTTTCCTTAAAAATAATATATAAAAAGCAATTAAAGCAGAGTAAAATAATCGAACAAAAAAATAGTTGCCTCCCTTTATCTGACAGCATGATACACCATATGAATTAATCATTTATTTTAACGAGGAGAAAAAGTCATTGCAGGTCTTTTGAATTGACATAATAGCACAGTTAAAATAAAAGACAAAAATTTCTAGCATGAGACCTCATAGGTTCTTAAAATTAGTGAGCTTCGTTTCGGGTAGTAATTTGTGGTGGGTTAGCTTTTGTTTTTGTTTTTTTGTTTTTTTTTTTGCATAAAATGAGTTGGATTCTACAGGAATAAACAATCGGCTAAAATAATGCAATACAAAATAAAAGAAAAACTTTAGCAAGAATACTTCAGGTGTGCGACGACAATCAACATAAGATACTAAGACACATTTAAGGTACTACTTTAAAAGCACAGTAAAACAGGGTATCTACAGACTCTGCAGAGAGAAATTACGGGACTTCAGCAGGTTTTTGCTGACCAAAATGATCGAGATCCCTTACTTTTCACATGGAGAAATTGCAAGAGTAGAACTGAAAATGAACAATTTTTGTCATTAATTTCACTTCAAATGACCGAAACAAGTGAAGCTTAAATCTTCAAATACTAGTCACTCAATTAACTAAAATCGCAATCCTCCATTGCAACTTATTCCCCAGTTATTTTTTCAGGGTGTAAGGGCATTAAACCCCGAACTAGACTGAGTCTCAGTTTTATTATGTGGATAGCGCTGATGTTCTTATCGATTTTAAGTTACAAAAGTTTTCAGATTTCCAGTCTTTTTCATAAATTTTTTTGACTTGTCCTTGATCCATATTTCCCAGTTTTCCACACCTGTAAACACCCTGTAAAATACGTTCCTTCTGCCATCCTTTTACAGCCTGTAGATGATGCCCCTAAGAAACAATAACAGAAGAGAAAACTTTCAGACTTTCCTGACAAATCCATAAATTCTCTTGTCATTTGGATCTTATCTGAAAATAAACTCTCTAAACAGTTTTCAGCTAGTTTCCCGCTTAAGATAATATTGGATTTTTTTAGCCAACATGCGTTGAAAATTCAGCAAAAAACTGAAAATCTCAATACAGAGGGAAAAAGTTCACTCACAAGCACAAATTTCCCTCAAAGGGATACGCTGTTTGGTACAACATTAGTAACAACCATTCAGGAAGGCAACTGTAGACGTGTTTCGGCCTTATAGGGTCAATCCTCAGTGTAGCGCAGCTTCCTGACAGCCCGGGTCTCTTACAACCCGTGCATCCACCGCAGTCAGTTGTCGTAAGATAATATTCTTGCTCTTCATGAGTGATTATTTCTTTCAGGGGCTAACAATCAAAAGCTGAAGGAGATGTTTGCTATAAAATAAACTTGCTCAGATTCCCAGAACTTATGACTGAAGTGGATACAAAACAACATTGAGGCCAGAAGTACAGGAAGAAGAACCAACTAGAGCTCCTATTCTTCGGCAGAGAGAATGAAGTACAGTTCAAGTATCAATAACTTTGGTACTGAAGCGTCAGGATATGTAAAAACACCTACAGCTAGAATACCAAAGATACCGATAAACTTGATTGGGTGCAGGCAGAGCGGTGGTGCGAGATAAACGAATGCTGTGCTCGGTGAAGCAGAAGAGGGGAGAACATTTAATAAAAGAGGTCCTATACACTTTTTACACATGCTAAAATGGATCAGGGTAACTCCTGATACCTTATCTTCTAAGATCCTGGTTTTTTCATTGCCTATTCTTTTCTGTATTTTCAGCTATCCAAAATTAATCTCTCAACTTTCAAAGCAGTGAAAATCCCCTTAGGGAAAAACACACAATAAAAAGCATAAGGAAGAGAAAATGACTGGAGGTAAGCAAGTTCAAGCGATTAATATTCTTTTCTTCTGGTAATTCAATGTCTATTCTAATGGTACAGATTAATTGACTAGAAAAGTAGATTATTTGCTTTTTTATCCTACGTATCTCAACAATTGAAGTGTAGATAGGCAATGTAAGTGTCATGGTAATGTTACAATCACTGACCAGTGAACAGAAAGGAAAAAAGGAGACTTCAAACAGAATTTGCAGTATCTTTCCATTAATAAAGGGGTTTAGACTTGTTTTGGAATGCATGTGCGACCAGTGAGTTCTGGGAGTATTCAGTCTCCTCACAATAGCGATGGACATCCCCATTGTAAAGTCAACATGTCGACTTCACCACACATAGAAATACAAGGCACACTCTCTGTAAGCGCGAAAAGGTTTCATCGTCCTAAATGAGGATCTCAATACGCGGCGGAAGCAGCCAATGTGGTAATACAACTTAACGATCAAAAGCGCTTTTCATTGGTAAAATGCTAGATGAATTATTATTTGTTAGGCACAAAGTTCATGTTCATATTGGTATCCCCAAAGGAATTTTGCTCTCTTAAATGCGCTCCTGGTGAAACACTTTAAACAACGCTCACTGAGAAACTGCCTTGTCTTTAAACGTGACATTCGAGAAACAAAGCATAGACAACAACACAAAAATAGCAATATAAAAATAAGATAAACGAGAACTTAAAAAAATTCTTTCTACAAATAAAAATGATCTAAAATTGCCGACTAAATAAATGCTAACAGATAAATTACAAAGTGCACGGAAGCTTAAAGCTACTGAATATAAAGGGGTAGAAAAAAAACTTGCAAAAAAAACTAAGAAAACTACACGGAGAATAACAATATTTTGGTGTGAAACAGCTAGTTTTGAACAAGCCATGTGCAATAAAGAAAATAACCCCAGAAAAATAAGCGAAGCTGATCAGGCCAGATCCAGCATTTTAATTAGCTGACATTGGAGTTCTAAACCGCCGATCTGAGGCAACCAAAGGGCCACACACAGCTGTACCCAACTAAGTTGGAATGCATAGGGACCAAAGGTTCATTCCAACTTAGAGGGGTTTCCAAGTTAAGCAGACTTAATACAACTCTGTTTTGCAATAGACCACTAGTATGGCGCAAATTTAAGAATTATAATAATTGTTTAAATGAAAAAACGTTATTCTACAATGCCTCGGTTTCATCTATACTTCAATTATACCCGCAAGCCCTCCCAAAGATTGAGATGCTGGCCATGACAACTCTTTGAGACTTCTTATAAAATATGAGCGCAACACCATTCTGAAGAACATAAAAAGCAAATGTTCTTACCTCCTGCCAACATAGCTACTAGAATTATTCCACAAGACCAAAGATCGGCAGGCTCAGCATGGTACGGCCGGACTAGAACTTCTGGCGCAACATAGGGCAAGGTGCCACACCTTTTGTCGAGTGTCCTTTCCTGAAACATTGTTGAAAATAAAATGAAAATCTTTTTTTGATGGATTAGAAGTGTTGAAAGATTAATAATACAAAATGATAGGAGAATTTGATCTGAAAAACTTGATGACAGCCAAACCAGCGATAGTGATCACTAAGAAATAGTGTGAGGCACTGTGGGGGCAGTAATCGGACGCAAAGAAATAAGTGGCATTAAGAACAGGGCAAAATTAGTATTCACTCAAAATCTAGTTAGGAATTGATTTTAGTGTGTCTATTGTATCGTTGATAATACTAACTGGTGACGACCCAGAATGGGCAACTACCATTCAGGCATTTTCAGTAAATTGATACATTCACTGCCAACGTTTTATAGCCAAGACGTGTTTCTCACTGACTGGAGTGAAATGCAAAAAATGGCAAGAATTAAATTTCGAACCAAGTTTTCTGTCAATCATCGCAACATCAATATCACCTATCAGTTGCGTGCATGATTAGTAAACTACAATTACTTCTTCGGAGGACTCGCTCTCACAAAGCACTGTAGTCATATCGTCCTGGAAAAATGTCTGTCACCATAACCGCTCTAGCCAAGGGCCAGCAAAAAGAACACGGTCATTATCACCATGTAACAATGAACGTTTTAAAAGACTTCCTTCACAGTTAAAAGTTGATGACATTCAATTAACCAGCTGTAACTGAATTCCAACTCTTCACAGAGAAGAAATCCGAATATGACAGCAATGAGATAAATAAGATCAACAGTCACTTACTTTTCCTTTCATTCTGAAGACAGTCGCAAGTCCGAAATCAGATATCTTTAAGTTGTCCTGAATATCTAGAAGGAGGTTTTCCGGTTTTAAGTCTCTGTGAGCGATGCCTTTGCTGTGAAGATATTCCTGAAATGCAAAAAGTATTATGTGTTCAATGAATGTCGGTAATGTAAGATTTTTAATTTTGCACCTATTGTAGTTAGTAGTGAGATAGCATCTTGAGATGTAACATTAGATCTGCGCCTCAAGACAAGAGATTATCACACTTTAATTGATGTACTTTTTGCCTAAAATAATTCTAAATACAATTAATTACAAACTTCATGGCTGAATGCATGCAGCCAGATGATGGGTTATAAATTCGAGAAGTAAACTATTCTTCAATTTTGGGAAGACTTAAAGCATTTGGTTGCCAGGCTCCAAAAGTAAAAAAATAGTTCACTCTTCAAATACAAAACCGATTTTCAATCTGAGAAGTCAGGTGTTCATCTAGACACCGTCAAAGAATAAACAATTTTCAACTCTCATTTTAAGAGGTTGATCCAAAAGAAGGAGAAATTAAAAGAAGTTTCGATTTCATTATCATATTTTACATGAGGAAAATATGATATTGAAACAACAATCGTTAGTTACTTATGGCTGCAAGGAGACATTAAGTAGTGGCAGGAAGTGCCATTTACAAGGCATTAGAGCCACAGATTTAAAATGACAAAGCTGCGGCATTTTTGTATGTGTTCTCAAAAGAAATTTCAGCCTAAAGTCTCTTGAAATTAAAAAAAAAAAAATTCAAGAATTTACAGGCAGAGGTTACAATTCTTGTCGATAGTTCATGTGGGGCAGTAGAGAACAATTAAATGTTTCAGTCAGAACAAAAAGCTTCAAGTTTCCACAGCATTCCCTGACTTGTCAGATTGGGCAAAATTCTCTGACTTTTCCAGGTTATTAAGGACTTCTCAAAGACTCCTCTCTCTGTTTTAGCATCAGTTCTGCCGTACTAATCTTTTAGTCAGACCAATTTTTCTTCTGAAAATAATTAAGAAACTCTCCTTTATCTAGGGAATAATGAACTGAATTCTTAAATTTATAGGACAACATTCCCTTTTTCTGTAGATGATCACAATTTCATTTGGTGAGGTGAGGAGCAATATCTCGCTTTGGTTTCGCTAATACAACAGAAGATAATAATACAGTAATTCAAAGTCGCAGAATTTTTCAGTCTTTAAAATTTTAAAATTTTTCCACCTTCTTATACTTCATTCTTATGCAATCTGCAGGGAAAGCTGTGGACAATTATCTGGTTCACATAAACCAATTCACAACTACAGTACAAGTTAGGAGGCATGATAACTTACCACTCCAGCAAGTAACTGTTTGAAATATTTGTGAGCTTCTTTATGCGGCATCCCAATGTCCGGTTCTACAGGGACAGTCAAAACAACAAAGAGATCATTTACGGTGAAGGTAACATATAGTTCTGAATGACAATTGAATTAGCATTAAATAAGTCATTCTAAGCACACAGCAATGGCTTGGCAATACTTATTTTTTCTTGAAGCTTGTAAATACTACTAGATTGAGGGACAAGAATGCTTTTTTTTAACACAAGAGTTATTTCCAATTTTTCAGGACAGCATCGCTACATACTAAAATTTGAACTATGTTTTATCAAGTCCATTGACATGAGAGCACCTTTTTTTCACAAAATCCCAGACATTTAGGAGGAAAAAGAGAAAATAAAATGTCGTGGAAAATTTAGAGGCAAAAAGTGGCTTTAAAAATGTGAGGGTGAAACTGAAAAATGGGGAGGTTTGTGGCTCCCAGCATCCCTGCCATGAGAGCCCTCAGAGGAACACCTTCGCAGATAAAGAACGGCATCGAAAAGCGATGTTACGTACTTAATATATTGCGAGACAAAGCACCAGAGTGTGACAGCTCATCACAGCTACACTTAATATTTAGAGGCTTTTTTTTTAACTCAATTTCCGTTCTACATTCACAATAAACTTCTAATAAAAGGCATCAAGAATATTCATCTAATAATTCCAGCTCAGAGAGATGGCACATTATTGGCTAGAATACTACTTTTCAAATGCTGCATACGATTCTTGAAGACTTTTGGACAAAAAAACAGGATAACATCTTACCGATTTTATCAAAAAGTTCCCCTCCTGCAGCATATTCTAAAAAAATATATATTGTATCTTTGTCCCTTCTTTGGCCGAAGAATTTGATTATGTGGGGATGGTTCACCATAGCATGAACCACAGCTTCTTTGTGTGCTAGTTCCTGCGCCTCCTTATGCTTCTTGCAGTCGATTACTTTCATCGCCACAGCATGTCCTGTGACGCGATTTACCAACAGCTTTACCTCGCCATATGCACCTTCTCCTAAAGTTTGAGAGATGCTCCATCCTTCTACAAATGCACTCATTCTCGATTAGAGAATCCATTCACTGCCTGAAATGGAAAATTTATAAGCATTAAAATTCCCGGCTGAAAAAATTAAAACTACTGGAATGATCAAAAGCTCCAACTTAAATGCACTAACAGAGAGTGGTAATTGAGGAGGTGTTTGTAAAACAAGAAAAAATATTGACCAATGGATGAGTAATTTTTGAAAACTCGCTCCTTAAGGCATCAACTACAGAAAGAAGGGAGTTAACAAAAATTTATTACAAAAAGCATATATCTTTGAGGGAAAACTGTGCTTGAGCAAGCTTTTTCCCTCTAAATTGAGATTTTCAGCTTTATGCTGAATTTGTAACGCACGTTGGCAAAAAAAAAAAAAAAAAAAAAAAAAATTCCAACATACAAAATTTATTAATTCATTGATGAAGTATGGCGGAGACTAATGCACACACACACTACTTCTCAACCTTGGATGTTCTATTAAAGCTAGAGGCCAATCCAAGCAAGTGCAGGCATTCATCACATTACATTAAAATATGGTGATGGCTAAACCTATGCATTCTGGTTTGATAAGTTGAGGACTTCCTGACGCCCTACATATTTTGAATGGGGCTTTTTGGGATCTTGAATTGATTTTATTGATAAATATTACCTGTTACTTCTAAAAACTCAACTGAGGGCTATTTGGCAGGCAATTTGGAGTTCAATGGGGTTTACAAGAACAAGAGCTCATACAAGGCATTGTTTCTGAGATTGTTCAACTTCTTATTGGACACTAAACAAAGCATTGGAAGCAAGCGGCAAAATGAACTTTTACAGTGCATTCCTTAATGATTGATATTTTTGGGTATAAAAGCTAAATTAACTCCTGATTTTCTCAAAAGATGAAAGAAATTTTTTTATCTCAGCAGATGGTAATACATTTCATTCTTTTCTGCTTAACTCAATTAAACTGTAAGGGGTTGGAGAGTCGAATTTAGTTGGTCAGAATTCACATTCCATCTACTAGTGACTGCTAGCTAAGCAGGTTGATTTAAATGAAATGAATTCATCAAATTCCTTATAGCAATTCAATCTCTTGACAGTTTTATACAAGAGCTGACACATCAAATGCTGGCAGTGAAGTTAAACTTTGATCTATCTCGCACTTCTTAACAAACTAATAATGGCACCAGGTTCGGATTCCTGAAGACCACTGCTCAACACAGCATCTATAGTCTCTCACAAAATATGTAAAGAAAGCCTGCGCTGGCGGTTTGTTTTCTTAAGAAATTAGAATGGATCTGATTATGGGCTGCATTGCTGTATTGATGGGGGTGGATTATGAGAAAATCAATGAAAATCATTCAGAAATTTAGACTTAACTGGCATGAAATTGACTTACTGATGAAGAACTTATCATCTCGGATGACATATCAAAAGTCAAGTTTGGAGGAGACAGTTTAAACAAAAATAACGTTTCTAGATGTCAGTAAGCAGGTTCAACTGAAGCAGAACAATCTTCTCCTTATCCAATCTCACCTCAATCATGTTATCAAGATGACTAAAAGGTGCCACCTTATCAGATCCACCTTAATTCAGCCCATTAAAATATTCTATATCTGTGCAGAATGTTGCCAAAATTCCTATTTGTGGGCTTTAACAAGGCTGAGCAGTGTTTTCAGTTATTCACACAGTACACGATTCATCTAAGAGCTTAATTCCATCTTCATGACATACAAAGGGTTTTTTTCCTTCATTCAAAAAACTTTTGATAGCACTACATTCAAGGTGTCTACTAAAACAGGCAAGCCAAAAATCAGTGCTTTTACGGTACTTTTTCAGTACATTCCCAAGAAATGCAGTAAGTAAGTAAGTAAGTAAGTAAGTAAGTAAGGCCGGGCTGGCCGGCGAGGCGCCCTCAAGGGGCCAAGGCAACTGGCAACTGCCGTCGTGCACCCCGAAGTCGGACCGTGCTCCTTAACATATCTTTGTACTATTGACACATTGTGTATCCTTTATATTCCGGCAAGGCTCAGCGGCCGACTGATAACCAACGGAAGGCCTTATCAAAGACTGCGGCAGACGCTGCAGAGCACGGGCTTTCGGAGCACGGCCATGCCTCCACAGAGTTGGACTGTGTTGTTGCAATCTACACTGATAGGTAGCGCTGGCAGTCGCGCACACTACGAGTGATTACCGATTTTTCACAACCCAGTCGAACAGTGCAGACGGATTACTTACTGGATGAATATGTCCCTCTCGCACCCTGTTACCTCGAAGGGTCAGGGTATTGGAGTGGCATAGTCATCCACGGTCACGATGACTGATATTTGAGTGTCCTCAAATATCAGTCACCTCCGGGGATTGAACCCGGGACCTCAGTGTTGGCAGCGAACTGCCTTGACCACTACACCGCTGAGGCTGACTTCCGAGAAATTCAGTACCTCCTCAACAAAGAAATTCAGTACTTTTTCAGTACCTTTATTTGACGAAATTCGAAAAATTTCAAAAATTCGAATTTTTTGCTCGAATTGCGTCAAAAATTCTGAGCCTTCCTGTGGAATTTTTGCACTTTTTCAGTACTTCCAGTCCACCCTTAAAAAATCAGTACTATTTTCAGACTTTCGAACACCTTGACACTTCTTGCAATTCCATGCCTAGTTCTCCGCCAGGCAAGCCTTAACAGGAAAATACTTGACGGCTGAGATTTTCATAAGACTGACAGCCCCGTAATAGACTGAGTTTGTGACAACGTCATTCTTGCGAATAGTTCACACCAAAACAATGGAGCAAAACCTCATATTAAAATCCTGTGTGACTTGAGTGTGTTAATTAATTAAAATTGTGTCATTAGCAAATCATAAATCAATTACTAACTTATTAAACACAAGAGATTTGGTAGCAAGAAATAATTAGACGCACTTCATCACTGTGGTGCATATACAAGATTATAAGTCTATCAACAATTGAACCATCAGAGCTGCGATGGCATTTAGCTACTAAATCGGTCTGTAGGTACTTTGCTAAAGCCTCCGGTCTGCTCTCCAAGGGATCATCCAGCAGAGAGCTCAGAGGATTACTCAATGACTGACGCCATCTATCTGCACTGTCGTCTGCCAGATTCTTCGTTGTTTATTTACGTTTAATTTCAATGACAAACATTTGACAAAATCTTCCGTATTTCTTAACTTTCAAAACAATGAGTGAACAGCAGGCCTAGAACCTGCTCATGTAGCCTGAGAAAAAGGACGCAAAAAGTAGAGAAAATAAGGCTAACCTCACTTTTACATCACTCTACATTAGTCCCCAACATCGATAGATCAGGGAGTCGGAGAGCAGTTCACAGACTGACAAAGCAGGTCTCCGGATGATTCCTCCTGAGTCTATCAACAGTTAATGTTGTCTCCAGGGAATGCCAAAGAGCTCTCCGGAGACATTAGCATCGCACCTTATTTACTTCATCACCTTGAAGACTAAATAAACACAACAGGTCAGTTGCGCAAGTCACAAAATCGTGTTTAAATACTTGATTCTTGTAGAGTAGCCAGAAATAATACAGTCTGTACAAACCACAACTTTCTACATTCAATATTGACCGAGATATCGCCAAATTGAAGAGTCAGGTTTTTGACATTATCCATCGGGTTTTTAACGTCATCCACTGCGGTAGTGACACCCTAGGTTTCATCAGTCGGTGTGATGCAAATTTGCACTAGTTGTTTGATGTTAAACTCGGATGAAAGCAAGATGGAAGAAACCAAGAGTGTCACTACTGCGGTGGATGACGTCAAAAACCTGACTTGCCAGGGGGCGATATCTCGGTTAATATTTAACGTTGAATGTTGCGGTTTGGACATATTTTATTATTTTAAGCTTATATACAAGAATAAAGCATCAAAATTTAATTCTGTGACCAGCAAAACTGACTCATTATGAACCTCTTTAAGGTCTAATGACTAAAAAGGCTATCGAACACTTAGCTGTCAAGGCAAGAACAAAGGCCCTACCATGTATTTTAGAAAATCATGCATAGTTAAGATACGGCTGGTGCTGGCCAAAGATAAAATGGCAAACAAAATAAAAATACATGAGTCCATTAGTCGGACAGACAGTGCAGACTCCATAAACCAGAATAGTAATATGAAGTGATGAACACTATTGGGCCAAAAAATCTTTCCCATAATGTTCACTATCTGCTAATCTTAAAAGATAACTGGCAATTGACCATGGCAAAGTGAAATCATGATCAAACTGCAAACAAATTGAAATGGTAAAGAATGAGTGGAATTCTACTAAATGGCTAATTTGAGGTGACATATACCTGAGACAAAGGCCTGAGGACAAGTTTCTTACAAGGCTTCCGTTTCTCAGAAACTTCTGACAAAGGAGAAACAATAAATGTGAAGAAAAAGGTGCATTGCGTATGCTCGGATGCACAGAGCTGAGGATTGGAAAATAAGATCCGAAGCTTGACTACTGAGAAGGGAAAATTGCACGGCGCAGCTGACAAACTGATTTACTGCTTGAAGGCAGATAATGCTCCATCAAGGATCTACTGTCAAGATGCACATTGCGGTTGAAGGATGCTCAAATTCGTCAGAGTCATTCAGCAGAGTCAGATGGAGATCTCCTCAAAGAGATTGAGGGACACAAAAATTTGAAAAGGAGCAGTCCAGATCGTCTCATACTGGATTCAAATGGAGCTAATCTCGCAGAAAGGCCAGTCGCACTGAGGTAGTCGGCTGATTAGTCCGTCGGGAAGGAACAAGAGAGGAAACTTCAAAAGAGCATGCTGCAAGTTGCCTGAGGATTCCATGCTAAAGGATACATACGTTCTCAGTCAACAAAGAGGGAAAGCGAAGCTAAGTAAGAGAGTCAAAATGGAATTAGTTGCGGCTTTCTGACCAGTGCAAAGGGACAGGTTAGGATCGAGAGATGAAAGTAAGGGTTAAGATAAACCTAAGAGGGTGAGGCCAGGCATATTTGCAAGCATTAATCGAACTAAAGCAATGAATAAAGTAGATAACGACTATACCTAAATCGAATGGCGATCAAAAGTAGAGAGAGGCGACATCACACACAAGGCCATTGAGACCCAAACCGTAGAGGCAGGTTGCTGACTCGGCTAGTGCGGCTAGTTAGAAAATAATTTGAAATGATCGAGATCCAGGAAGATATCCATCTTGGGAAGATATTGCGGGAACGTCCAAAATCAGGCCCTAGACGATCGGAATTGGAGAAGCCGGGTGGAGTGTCGAAAACCGATGTCCTGAGTGGGTGACAGCGACTAGGAGCACGCCTTTCAGACAAACATTGGTCGATTGCGAAGGATTGAAAACTCGCGGTAATAAGCTAGAGCGATTATCACATACACTGAAAGAAATCCTGTTACAAAATTCGTCAAGTAACTGCTGAAATCACCGGAGAACTAGAAAGAATTGTTGAGAAAATTACCTAACAAAGGCGGCAATGATTGAAGATCGCCATTTTTTGGAGAAGGAGGGAATATTTCGGCGAATTTAGAGGCAAAAGAAACGAAGTGGGGGCAAGTCGTTGTGTTGATGACGTCGAGATAAAGAATTTCCTGTCGCGCCAAAAAGTAGGAGCTCCCATTGGCTGAAAATTATTTGGCGCCAAAATATTTCACAAAGCGACGTCATCTTCGTGATGAATACGCCTACCTGCTTCTATCCACCACGTGGTGAATTTGCAAAGTTCCGCAGAAGCATCTCGGAAAGAAATTGCTCAGCGGGCTACTCGTTATTTTTGGCGGCAATTTCGATTTAACGGGCATTTTAGATCGTCCGTTAATTTTTGGGTATCACTTGCCTCGTCTGGTGAAAAACTTTGGATGCAAGTATAAATCTGTATATGGTAAGGGAATGAAATAAAAAAGACCTCATTCTATATTTTGACCTAAAGTCAAAAATTGAAGCGACTATTAGTCGTACAGACAGTACTTAAGTTTTGACAGTTTGTGAATACTAGTCGTGTTTCAGTGTTAAAGTCAACTACATGTCCATGACCGAAGTGTGAAACCACGGATCTCCTTAGTGGTGTCTCAAAAATGTCCACTACCATTTCATTTTTTTGAGAGAAAACAAGCCAAGTTTGTGCCTTGAAATTTAAACAGAATATTCTGCCAACAGAGAGAAAAAATCAAAATAGTTTTCAAGAAATATTGCTGACTAGTTTTACAACAAAAAATAAAGAATGACAGGAAGTCTGCGATGTCGCGAAATGAGATATGTGGTATTGCACTTTGACCATCAGTATATACACTGATCAAAATCAGTTATATAGAAGAGATGAACGTTCAGCATTTTATTATCCATATCATTTATTGTTAATTTGTCATTGAGGATAGTCTGACTCCAGGTTAGTTGAAGAATGTCTCATTGAGAGTTTTCAAATTGGTACAAAAAGTTGACCATAATAAAAATCTTCAACTTTGTAGGTACCAGGTTAAAAGAAGTTCAAGGTAATTCTCATGATTCGAATTGAGTACGCATAACAGTAAAATTTGTTCTACCACTTGATCATAAGCACAGCTAAAAACTTTTTTCAGGGGAACCCCCCCCCCCTTAACATGTTACCTTAACAGCTGATGATTTAACATCATACTTACATCATTAAGGTCATACTTGAAAAAATATATTATGTTAACTTCTCAGCTGATGAGTTAACAGGAAATTTAGAGTACTTGGACTCCTCCAATACTCCGAGACTTGTTTCTAAAAGTTAAAAGACAATAACCGAAATTTACTACCTTGGAAAATTCTTTCCAAATTATACTTTTGTATCGTCCACAAAAATAATGTCTGGGTTCTAGATGAATGGAATGGAGGGTGCCTATTGAAGGAGATTGGAGGATCAAACAAAACCTACGTCACGCTACCAGTAACAATTACAGCTGCTCAAATCCTGAAAAGTTTTAAAATTTTAAAAAGTTAGGAAGAAAGAGTGAAATTTCACTATTTTCTATTTATGAAATCTATTAAAACTATACTTCTTTGCACTTTACACTTTAGTGGTTTTCCTGCAACTATTATAGCATGACCTTTGTTGCTCTTCCCTTTTAGAAGTTGATTACACTTTGGCTTTTTAATAGAGAAGATTGTCCATGTAGGTATTTAATACTGTAGATTTATGCCACTGCATTATCTCCCTTTTCTTCATTTTTTTCCAAAATTGGAGTAGCTCACCCAGACATAATTTTTAACAGAGGTCTGGAGTAGCCTGACAGTTGCCTGCAAGAAGGGGTAAGGGTTCAAAATTCAGAAAAGAAACCTGATATAATTCATAGATGGCCTCTTGTAAGGGAACCAATTGATGCTTTTTTTACTCATGATCATTATAATTGGACCGCGTTAAACAGAAAGGAACCAAGCCACATCAGCGATTGCCAAATTGCTTTAGCCAATTTAATTTTTTACATGAAAAGTGTTCTGCGGATTTTCGTGCAAATTGCAGTGAAAATTCTCCATAGTCTGAATCAAATTCCTAAAAAATTTCAAAGGAATCCGCACAAACGTTCTCTCGTAAAAAATTGTATTGCCCGGTTAAATTTGGCAATAGCTGATGTGGCTTGGTTCCTTTCTGTTAAACTCGGTCCAATTATTCTTGACCTAAGATCACTCTGAAAGTGTCACAGAATTTAAAAGAAATTAAAAGAATTCATTGAAGAAATAAAGAAAGCTGTATTTTTCACAAAACTATAAACGAAACTTAATTAATATTTACAAGAAAAAATAGAGTTCCTCTAGGTATGTAATTAAAAATATATTTTGTAAAAAAAAAATCAAGAATTTTAATTTTCAATATGGCTGTGGAATGAAAGGAATTTAAACTAAAAAATAAATAACAAAAGTGTTTTCTACATAATAATATCAAAACCATCATTAGAGAAACAAGCACTTTTAGAGTGGTACGAGAGAAAGAGAAAATAAAACAAGAACTCTTGGCTGGAATTGGATTTTAGAGTAAAATTTTGGTTTTGGACGAGACCCAAATATTGTAATAATGTACAGTTTATACAGGTGGAGAAAAATATTAAGAAAACAAATGTAAGGCTTCAAAAACAATGAAAAACATAGAAGGGCCCTGAGTGTTAAATTACTTCACAGCTGACATCCAAGTAAAAACTTCGGACAAAACATTCATAACCACCAGCTCATGAAACTGTACATATTTCAAACTGGGGTGATAAGACAGTAATGATGCAGGTTTAGAGCAGGTTTTAAAATTATATTCAACCAGGCAAAGAACATACGAGAACGTTTTCAAAGGAGATGATATTTGAAGGATGGATAGTGATTGAGCATTCTGGAAACATTAAACTGACCAAATAAAACTCAAACTCTTCAAACGAAAATAAATTGTGAATAACTTGTTTGAAGACCTTCCAAAAAGTATTACAACCATAGGTGTATCAAATACATAAATGGCATCTTTCAGGCAAGTTTTAATGGCTATGGGAAGTTAAAACTGTGCCAAACCTTCATTATCAAAAACAAATACATATGTTTTCACTTCATGAAAAATTAAATTAGAATGGGCCTCTAGACAAGATGTGGATTAAAGAATTTTGTAGCAATTATTCTTTTCAAAATCTTACGCAGAAAACAAATTATACAACGGAAAGTCTGAGTATCAACTTTTAAACAAGATATGAAAGTTTGGAATTACCACTGATTAAATGGCATGAATACAAATGGCATCATTTGTATAATCTAACTTCCATTTGATCTCCATAAAAAATTCTTGTTAGTATCTCGTGCAAGAGTTGACTTCAAAACTTTCTATTGTATGAATCGCTTACGATGTAAATTTTGAGGAGAAAACGTGTGCCAGTTATTTCTACATGAAATTCAAACTTTGTCTAATGGCCTGTTAAGAATTGAAACCAGAATTGCATTTTCCTTCAGAGCTTCAGTTCGAAAAAACTTCACAACAATGTTGGTAGAAGACACTAATTTTTACGACCAATATTTAACTCTAAGGGTAACATAAGTAAGAAGGGTTACTTAGGTTCACTTCACACTCCGCCAAAAACAACAAAAAATGTCATGATTACTAGAGCAAGCAAAATTTTTGCCTTATTTCTTAAAATTGGGGCATGTGCGATCCAATTTTACAAACTTTTTAGGGATACTATTCATTAAATAAACAGAGCGCTTTAATTTTGCAACCAGGAATTTGGATCCATCCAAGTATATATTCGGAGAAAGAGAATGGCAAATAGTAAAGTTTTTCCTAGGACAGAACGAGACTTGATTTGTTGCAGTGTCATTAATTCACGTATTTAAAATAAACAAAAAGATTAGAGGGATGAAATGTGAAAAAGAAAAAAGGTAACTCACACCTCCAGAAAATAAAGCAAACTTGATTGTCTGTTTCATTCTTCTCCTAGGCCTTTGATTTTAGAAATTTTGTACTCAATTGAGAAGTATGGGTGTGGTGGGTGCATTTCCAAACACCTCCATGGTGCAGATTCAACATGAAGTATTGGAAATTATCACAGAGGATAGTATGTCAGGGTGGCATTACTAACAATCATATGAAAACCAGCTCTTTCCTTTACTTTACCAAAAAAATAAGTACGGCACAGCGTGTATCCCATGAACCCACATGAGAGGTCTTCTTATTAGACTGTCTCAGAAAAAATATATTGAAATATTATCGAATTCATTCACTTAGAATGGAGATTGAGAGAGGGAGAGGCTTACAATTTTCTTTTTTTCCTTGGATGGTTTAATTCCAAATGCAGTTTCCACAGAGATTTGTCTCAACCGCGCATCTCTTGAAAAAATAATCCCTAATAAGCAAGTGGGTACATGGTACTCACTGATGCAAATAGGCATTAGCACATTAAGTGAAAAAAGGTCAAATCTAATGGTGATCTAAAAATTATTTCTTACTTTTGATGAAAAGAAGCTAAATGGTTCTGCTCTAGCTACTAAAATCTTCCATGAGAAGCAAACAAATAAAAGCATATTATCGGTTGAATTTTACACAAGGAGGTTCTCAAAAATAACTTTACTGGATTAGCAGATAAAGTTGTATCACAAGGGTCATTGAATAACAGAAAAAAGTGGGTTGACAACTTGCACATTTGCATGCTCTGCACTAATGTTTGACACATGTTCATTTTAATAACGCTTTTTATGGGTGACTTGACAGAGATTGTTTGAGCTAGAAAATGTTCATGGATTTGAGATCAATATGTTCCAATTTATTTTGAAGCAAGCCTAACTTACGTACCGTCTTGAACTGCTTCCGAGAGGGGAAGTTTTTGTCTAGGCACATTTTCAACGATGCAGCAAAACTTTCAATGAAACTAATGCAAAAGAGATAAGGTGATTAACTTTGATTCTGACTGAAAGAAAATTTTGGTAATTGTAAAAACTTATCATCCACTTTTTTCTTAAATTCAATTGTGAGATCTTTCTCAATTTTCATGAATCATTGACGATCCTTCATCATAAAGCATGTTCTTCATTTCTAGTGTCGAAACTATCTTGAAGATCTGGTTTTTGGCTTCTATTTGAAGCCTGGGATTGAACGATTTAACAGTAGACGCAACAGTCCGGAAAAAACTATCGATAATATGCTCCGGAGGCTCGTGTGACTGTTTGTAATAAGACTGGTCTTCTTCTCCACGGTGCGTTGACAGATTAACGAGCAAGTCAGTATTGTTCTTGTTGTCGATTTTGCATCTCAGTTGGGGTGAAGTGGTAGACATATTGTGCGCGTCAATTGGAAAATGGCCATGTGCAGCAAGGATCTGATTGTTGGAGATGCGGTGTAGGCCTTGCTGGAGGTAATTTCCAAGCACAGTGCAGTCAGTTGGAGGCTGACCATCTGCAGTGTTGTCTTCATCCGAGGCAATGCGCGACCTGCCGGAAGGAGTGCCAACAGATGGTTTAGGTCTGAAAGTAGAAAGTTTACATTCCATGAGCCCGACCAATACTTGTTTCTAGGCCCTTTATAATAATGTTATGGTCGTACTAACTCCTAAATTTCTTTTATGCTGCATGGACTTCAGAAAAAAAATCGTTAATTTCATGCGCAGAATTTTATAAATTCTTCAGAGAAATAGATTTAGGAGTACACTATTTGCAATAATCCACTATGGTGTTTTATTGTGTTTCGGACTAATTTTTTCAAGTTTTTGTAAAGCCCATGCTCTAAATTAATACGGACTGATAAAAAAATGAAAAAATGTCAGAAAAAGCTGTGAAACTCATGAAGCAGGAGAAAGTCTTCGAAAATTATAATAAAAAATCCAAGAAAACTGCTGCAAGTGTTATGAAAAAGTGTTAGCTGATGATACTATTGCGTCTGGTGTCTTTAGCATCAGCTAGTAGAGAAAAAATATACTCCCAATTCCCTACTAAAAATAGTGCAGTTTCCTTGTACCCAGCTGTTGAAAAAAGAGCACCTTTTTATTTTAATTGAATGCTTTTCAACGTTTTTTATGTTATTCAGAGTTTGCAAACATTTTCCCTCTTTATTGCTACATATAATCTTGGTTACACTCGCATAGAAAAAAATGCGCTCCTCTTGGAACAATTTTATCAGTCAATTACTGTAATCTCTTCTACTTTAAAAGAGCTTGTGGGAAGAAGAATGAAAATGTTTACTATTAAACCTTGCTGACCGTTTTGCTAATAGGTTCTTCTGCAGGGTTGCACAAAGGGAAATGAAAAATAAATATTTGACTTTTTAGTGAAATATTTCAGGAAAATTTAAAGAGGCTATGAAATATTTCATGCTTTTCACAGGCTAGATTTATGCAACCTACCCCTTTGTACTTGTGGAATACGGTAAACAAACTAACACATAATGGCCATACATATGCTTCTGAATGATAGGTTTTGACGGATTTCTAGCTTCCTTCATTGTTCGAGTCAAAAATCTTTACTTAATCGCAACGAAATATATTTTTCAATTTCTGAAATTCCATGACATATCTCTCATGAACTTTCAAAATTGTATTTTTCATGAAAAATTGCAACCCTGTGACTTGCATACTAGAGTTTCCTGTTTACTTCTCTCGGGTTTTTTTTGGGGAGGAGAGAGGGGGGGGGTATTTTTTTTTTCAAACAGATAAGGTAAGAAAAGATGACTCACTTCCGTTTATAGTCGATGGTTTCCAAAAACGACACGGCATCTTGCAACGCCCATTTGGGCACTTTGACATTTCTGGCCGCTCCAGTTGCGACCCGTTTTTTGTGCCGCATGTATGTGTCCCTTATGGTTTTCCATCGTTTTTTACATTCCTCGGCTGTGAACAAAAAGAAAATCTGATGAGCCTCGAACGTACATAGTTATAATGCACCAATACATGTATCACAAAAACATTATTTCCCGCGGAATTTTCCGTGGTAGGTTTAGGAAAGAACCGCGCAAGACTGCACCGGTTTGGGTGAGAAATAGAGCGCACCCGCTAATAGAAGGAGCGTCGATGACGCGACGCGACGTCTTGCCATCCTCGCGTCGGACGCTGCGTGGTCGCGTCGGCGTCGCGACGCCTCAAGCCGCATGTCGCGATGGTAGCGTCGCGTCGTGCGTCGCGTCGCCGCGCTACCTCCACTCCTGATGAGGGGGCTCGCTGTGGTATCAAAACGCCACGATGAGGTCCTGGATTTCCCAATGACAAAAAGCCAATGTTCACCTAAAATTCCGCGAAAAAGAGGGTGGATAGCCTGTCTAGTAGAGTAGTGGATGGTCTTAATCTCGTTATGGCCGTGCTGTGGTTGTGGTATGCAACAGAAATGAAGGAGTTTCGACTTGCTGAAGGAGAGTGAGAAAAGAGCATTGTTTGGCACTACAAGTGTTGCCCAACCCTCGTCTGACAATTACTGCGTTTTTACCACCTGAATCGAGAGACGATGACGATAAAGAGGAAGAAGAGGAAGAAGAGGAAGAAGAGGAGGAGAAAGAGAAACAATAAATAGAAAAACAGGGGAAGGAAAAGACTAAAACATAATACTTCTTTCTCTTCTTATTCATCCTCTTCTCCTTCCTCAAGGTTATGCTTTTTGTTTCTTCCTCTGTGATTTTCCTTCATCTACGCTCTCTTTTTCTTCTCCTTCTTCATAATCTTCTCCTTCTTCTTCTCCACTTTCTCATCTACGCTCTCTTTATCCTCTACTTCTTCTTCTCCTTCTTCTTCATCATCTTCTCCGTCTTCTCTTTCTTCTTCTCCATTTTTTTCTTTTTCATCATCTTCTCCTTCATCTTTTTATATTTTCTTCTTAATCATTTTCATTTCCCTCAACTTATTCTTTTAGTTTCTTCGTCTATGAGTTTTCATCATCCACGCCCTCTTTCTCGTCTCCGTCTTCTTCATCATCTTCTCCTTCACCTTATTTCTTTTCGTTTTAAACATTTTCACCTTCCTCAACTTATTCTTTTAGTTTCTTTGTCAGTCCTTCATCCACGCTCTCTTTATTGACTTCTTCTTCTTCATCGTCTTCTCCTCCATCTTTTATCTTTACTTCTTAATCATCTTCTACATCCTCTCCCTGTTCTTTTGGTTTTTTCCTATGTGATTTTCCTTAATCTGCCTCTTTTTCTCTTCGTCTTCTTCTACCTCAATCTCTTTTTCACAATCTCCCTCATTTCTCATTTCCTTCTTCCCCTTCTTTTTTTTCTCCTGCCTCTCTTTCTTTCGCGTGAAGCACGAGTGACAAAGCTACACTGCGAGCAACTATTCGCGCTCCTAAGCCGATCATATTGCGTTCACGGTTATTGAAGGCGAACTCGATCGATGGAATGAGAGACACGCAGTGACGAATCAACGTATGTTCCTAGGCTCCATGCGTTTTTTCATTTGCTCGTCATTATTATTTGGGCGTATTTCTGCCAAACGGAACTATGTGCATTATGACGTGAGCCCTGTCATGCATACCTACCTATATTCTTACGGGTGTCAGGGCTCATGTCTTGGTGCACTTAGTTCTGTTGGGCAGAAAAACATCCATTTATCAGTAATTAAAAAATTACCTAACTACATAGAGTTTTCGTGAAGGAGTCTGCGATGTTGCATTTCGTGCGAAGCACGAATAAACAGCTACTTAAGTATCAGGGCCAGATTAAGGGGGTGGCCACATGGGCCGCGGCCCATGGCGGCAAATCTAGGAGGCGGCAAATTTTGCAATTTTTTTAAATGTAGGTATATAAAAATCGGATTTAGAAAAAAATTACAAACAAAATCTCTCATTTCCTGAGAGAATAGTAATTTCTAATTTTGTCGTCTTTCGGTGATGCAAGAGACAGCACCTTTAATTGATCGAGTTAAGAGAGAGACCAAACACGCAATTTGGCCAGGAACGGCGCGACTGAGAGAGAAATAATGACGAGGACTTGAGATGAAAAGGAGAAGCCCTCGGCGCGGCGGTCGGCATGTAACTTACATTAGCGCCTACATTCTTACAAGACTGCACGAATATTTCATGCATTGCGTCAAACACAGTGCGGTCACTGCGGTCAGCGTGAAACGGATAGCGCCTACAAGAATGCATGAATACTTCACGCATTGCGCCAAACACAGTGCGGTCAGCGTGAAACGCATATCGCCTACAGGACTGCGTGAATACTTCACGCATTGCGTCAAATACAGTACGTTCAGCAGCGGTCGTCGGCGTGAAACTCATAGCGCCTACAAAACTGTCGGACTACTTCACGCATTGCTCCAAACACGTTGCGGTCTGCGCGGCGCGGCGGCTGAAGTTAAAATCATTAAACCACATTTATGTTTGTTCTTTCATAATTTTTTCGTTCATTTCATATGAATGGAAGGCCTTTTCCACGCAGAGATATGTTTGCGAAACTTAACGTTCGCGCAAAGTTCGGTGAATTTTTGCTAGGAGTGTTGACAGGGCTTTCCCACAAAATGTTTCCACCGCGAGTAAACGCGTCTTATGCTCCCCACCCCCGCTGCACGTTCACTTCATGGTTTTGATTGATGTTTCAAAACGAATGAGAAGGAGGCGGCAAAATACAGGCGGCCCATGGGCGGCAAGTAGATAAATCCGGTCCTGTTAAGTATAAACATGCATCAGAGAGCCGTTCGAATGAAGGGTACATGCAGCAACCTCATGGATTGTAAATCCTGTGACATTTGTTTTAGCTCCATGTTTCTTGACTGTTTTTTTTACCGGGTTCGGTAGAGCTTTCCAAGGTGGATAAAATACTTTCGTTTCAGGACGCGAGGGTGGAAGATGAGACCTCGAGAGCCCGCATTTCTTGCCAACTGAGTAAGAGGGCCGCTGAAGTGCGCTAAAGCGTCCGTCGATATGATACATGATAGGGGTCCAGTGGTGAGAAGAGAATGATCGATTATCGATATTTCCCTAATTGAGGCTATGGTAAAGAATCGATTATTAAGGTCTTCGTTGTGAACACCCTGTTTATCGATCCTCCGCCATAGACGCGATCGTTTGGATGGTCAAAAAACCAAGTTTATTAACCTTATAAAATGCTAGCCCCCCCCCCCCCCCCC